TATAACGGAAGTTTATCCTGTTGTGTCCAGGCAAGAACACAACTAGCTGCCCCAGGAACTAAGAAGCAGCAGGAAGCCCCCGTTTTGTAGGATGTTTGTGTGTGTTCTTTATAAAGATATGAGTCGGGTTAGCCACGGTTACCTGTGGTTACAAGGGCTAAGCTACCTTCTTAGCCCTGGTTAGGGGGTCGGAGCTGCTCTGTTTCCCATTCAGCGCCCTGGGATACCTGGGGTCCCCAACCCTAGTCCCTAGCTCCGGCACTCATGTGGGAGATCCAATTAGAGTTCCACACTTGTGGCCTACACTCCTCTGCCTGCACCTCGGGGTGCCATTTAAGAGGCTGAACCCCCATATGGAAGAGCTCTGCTTTATTCCCAAAATGGCAACGGCTGGAGCCGGGTCAGTCCAAAGCCAGGATTCAGGAACTTCCTCTGGGTCTCCCATATGGGTGCGGGAGCCCAAGGGCTTGAGCCATCCTCGACTGCTTTCCCAGGCCGCTGCAGGAAGCTAGGTTGGAAGTGGGGCAGCCAGAACTGGAATAGCGTGCACATTGAGGACTCATCTGCTACAGCCAAGTGCCTGCCCATGCATGGATTTCTTAGAAAGTTTTATTCAAGAGAAGGCATGACACGGCCAACCCCATCTGCTAGTTCACTCCTCAGATGTCCACAATGACCAGGGCCGGACCAGCTCACACCTCCCAGCTGGGAACTGAGTCCAGGTCTTCGGTGTGGGTGGCGGCAACCCCGGTGACGTTGGCAGGTATCTGCCACCTGCTAGGATGTGCAAGGAGCTGGCAGCAGAAGCCAGAGCTAGACTGAATAGTTTAGTTCACAGCCATACCAAATGCCTGTACTGGGCTTGGCTCATAATTCCATTTTCCATGTCCCCCTTTTTTTAAATTTTAGAGGGTTTTTTTTTTTAAAGATTTTATCCATTTTCATTGGAAAGGCAGATCCACAGAGAGAAGGAGAAACAAAGAGAAAGATCCTTCTTCCACGGGTCCACTCCCCAAGTAGCCATGGCCAGAACCGAGCCCATCTGAAGTCAGGAGCCACCCCTCCACCCCCTTGCAGGTGCAGGGCCCCAAGGCTTTGGGCCATCCTCCACTGCCCGCCCAAGCCACAGCCAGAGAACTGGATGGGAGCTGGAGTAGCCAAGACACAAACTGGTGCCCACAGGGAACCCTGGCACATGCAAGGCAAAGATTTAGCCACTAGGTGACTGAGCTAGGCTCCTAAATTTTAGTTTTTAAGAAATGTTTTCATTTTATTTGAAAGGAAGAAAAACAGGGAAAAAAAAAGAAGATCTTGCATCTACTGGCTCATTTCCACCAGATGTCCACAACAACCATGGCCTGGCCAAGCTACAAGCAAGAATTAGACACTTGTGACGCCATCTGCTCGGTTGCTGCCTCTGACAATGGGGAGAAGCCTGTCCCCTCCCCACCCCACCGCAGGTGCTCGGGCAGGGGTGGGGTGGGAGCGAAGCTGTTTGGGACCTGAGGACTTTTTATTAGAGCCCTAGTTAACACCCACCATCTGCAGAGGGCGATGGGAGCCTGGCGGAGGAGGCTTCTCGGGGGAGAAATAACATGGTGATTATGTGGTCTTAATTATTATTATCAACAGTGTGATGGTATTGCTGGGTGTGAGAGTGGGCAGTGAAACCAGCCCCCAGGGGAAATTGAGTCTCCCCGTCCTTGCCCCCCCTAAGCCTGCGCTGAAGGCATGGAGGAAGGTCCAAGGGGTGCGGGGGAGGGAGGGAGGGTCCTAGCCACAGAGGGGGTGTCTCAGTGTGTCCTGTGGGAAGAGGCTTTGTCGCTGGCAGGTGCGCCAGCTCAAAGGTGTGGAATGTTGGCTGTGCGCTGGAGCCTCGAGCCTCGTACCCTTGACCTGAGCTTCACAGCCTTGACACCCTTGGCTTGCATGTGTCCCCTCTCGCTGAGCCCTGGCTGGCCAGTTGTAGTGGTGTCTCACGCAAGAGGCCCACTGCCCCTGTCTGTCTGCACGGTCCAGGGTGTGAGGTCGGCCTGTGACCATCGCCCCTGGGACTCTTTGTGGCTTGGTGTGGACCATGCGTCTTATTTGGTCGTGAGCTGTTGACACAGTGGCTGCGTTCCACGGGGTTGCTGTCTGGACACAGGGACAAGCCTTAGGGCAGGTGACCAGGCAGGCCGTGCCCACTCTGGGCATCGGAGGCGGGGCGGACAGAGAAGAACAGCATCTCCGCACCCCTGTTCTTGCTCATGGATGGCAACCTCTGCCACGTACAGAACCTGGGCCTAGTTCCCACTTTAACGAGCAGAAGAGGAAGACATGGCCACCTGCTGCCCACAAGGAGGGTCACACACAGGCCGGCCGGCGGCCTAGGCTGCAGGGAAGATGCGAGACCCTCTAAAACTGAGCTCGTGGGCCAACTTCCACTGCTGTCCCAGGGAGCTGGATCGGAATCGGAACCAGGGCCAGGGACTCCACATGAAATGCCGGCATTGCTGCCGCAGCCCCATCTGTTATGCCACAGCACCTGCTTTCACAGATACACTATTGTTTTGTTTTGTTAAGATTTATTTATTTTTGGGCCCGGTGCGGTAGCCTAGCAGATAAAGTCCTTGCTTTGCACGCACTAGGATTCCATATGGGCGCCGGTTCTAATCCCGGCAGCCCTGCTTCCTGTCCAGCTCCCTGCTTGTGGCCTGGGAAAGCAGCAAAGAATGGCCCAAAGCCTTGGGACCCTGCACCTGCGTCAGAGGCCTAGAGAGGCTCTGGGCTCCTGGCATTGGATCAGCACAGCTCCAGCCATTGTGGCCACTTGGGGAATGAATCAACGAACAGAAGATCTTCCTCTCTGTCTCTCCTTCTCTCGTATATCTGACTTTTTAAAAAAAGATTTAATTATTCTTATTAGAAAGGCAGATTTATAGAGAGAAGGAAAGACAGGAAGAAAGATCTTCCATTTGCTGGTTCACTCCCCCAAGTAGCTGCAACAGCCAGAGCTGAGCCAATCCAGAGCCAGGAGCTTCTTCCAGGTCTCCTACATGGATGCAGGGTCATTCGGCTTTGGGCCATCCTCGACTGCAGCACCCTGAGCAGAACTGTCCCTTTGCTCCAGTCCTTGTGGTGGATGGACAGGGACCAGAGCAGAGTCCCCACGCTGTCACCCAGTGCATGTGTGTTTTCCCTGAGACCCCTTCCCAGGCACAGACACGATTCATACAGGATGGGGGGCCCGGCACAATGGCTCAGTGGCTAAATCCTTGCTTTGCATACTCCAGGTCTTGCATTCAGTGGTTCACTCCCGCAGATGGCTGTGGCTGGAGCTGAGCCGATCTGAAGCTAGGAAGCAAGAGGTTCCTCTGGAACGCCCACATGTGCCAGATGGGCTGGGGGACCAAGCTGGGCCCTGAGACACAACCCCTGCCCAGAAGCCCCACCCAGCCTATGATTGACAGCCTGCAGACAGCGAGGGCAGGCTGAGACAAGAAGAGCCTGCCCGGTTGGCCTTGGCTGTCCTGATCGGACGTGACCTCGTACAACAGACTCAGATGACAGGGACGTCTCCAGGGACACTGCGGTGATGGCGGGAGGGGAACAGGAGAGAGAGTGAGTCAGCCCCAGGTGTCACACGGTCTCAGCACCTGAGCGCCATGTCTGTGAACTCCCAACCCCATCACCAGCCAGCCTTGGTGACTGGAGGAGTGGGGGCGCCCTCTCCCCCAAAAAGGGAAGGAAGCCAGGAGGAGGAGGGGGGCCTGGAAGCTAGGGCTGGCCCCCTGTGTGCAGCTGGAGGACGCCTGAAAGCCAGGAAGGGGGTGGAGCTTTTTATTGAAAGCAGGTGAGTCACAGCATTGCCGCTCCCCCACCCCACACCAGTGGCTCTGGGTATCCTGCCCGCGGAGCCCCCCTGCTGCTCCTTCTGGTCCAGGTTCTCATCCCAGGGCAGTGCACCCCAACCCTCGGCAGGGGGCAGCAGACGCCCGGCTCCCACGCCCCATCCACAGGCTCCTGGCAGGGCTGGGTGTATCTTTGGCCTTGAACCAAGCTGTGGCCCCAGACACACTGCAGCCAGACCCCCTTCCCCTGCACCTGCGCAGGTGGCTCAGGGGCTTGCAAGTTACCCAAGGAGCCATCACAGCTCGGGGTCCTCGTCCCAGAGATGAGGTGGCCTGATCGGGGTGGGGCTGGGAGGACAAGGCTGTAGTGTGAGCCTGAGGAGGAAGGAAACGTACGCAGGGTGTTTTTGTTTTGTTTTTTGTTTTTTTTCCAGATGGGGTCAAGTCCATGGTGGGCTGGGGCTCAGGGTCATAGCCAGTAGCTCCAGGGGTAACAAGGAGAGACAGACCGATGTCTTGGCTAATCACTGTGCCAATTATTGCTTTTGAGCCAGGGGGCTTTGCTCCCAGGAGTGGGGAGGGGAAGCACAAGCTGGCACCGCCCTTGCCATCCTGAGCAGCAGCAGGGCTGAGCTCCATGGGCAGCAGCAGACCTGCACACGTGCGCCGACCTGTGGAGACGGTGCACGGGCCAGCATGTGGGAGTGTGTCGGCGACTACGTATGTGGGAATAAGCGGGGCAGAGCCCTGTGAGTGTGTCTAGAAGCGTGACCCAGGCGGCTGGGGGCTGCCACGTGGAGCTGAGTAGGTGAGCCACACCGAAGCACCAATAGGAAAGGCTACCCTGTCCCCGCCCAGTGCATCTCCCCAGCCCCCTTACAGCTCCTGTGCGCGGTGGTGGGGACAGGAAGCAGGAAGGGAAGGGAACCAGGAGGAGCCAGCAGGTGTAGGGGGAGGGGCCACAGGCGGCCCATCTCCGGGAGTGTGCACGCACTGGGGTTTGGGCTGTGCCCGGGGTACGTGTGTGAAAGCATCGTGTTGATTGCAGGATGGTGAGTGCTGCCTCAGGGCCAGTCCTCGTGTGCGCGCGCGCGTTGAGGGCACAGATGTAGTAGCTACGCAATATCTCCAGCACCTGGGATGCACCTGCCAGTTCTCTTTTCCCACCCCATTAGGCACTGAGATCCACCACCACGTGTCGGTACACCAGCGTCTGCCCCTTGAAGCTGGGGGCCAGGAGCAACTGGGCATCTCCAGCGGGCATATAACAGAAGGCCCTGGGGGCCTGCACAGCAAGCTCCTGGAAACGTACAAATTTCTGCCGCCCCTCATCCCACTGGTAGACCTGGGTGAAGGAGAAGTCACTGCCCAGCGCCAGGTAGCGGCGGCCGCCCACCAGGAAGGGCTGCAAAGCCAGCGAGCCCCGGGAGGGCAGGGCCTGAACTTCAGAGAAGCGAGGGCCTTCCCAGCGCAGGATCTTGGAGTCTCCGATGTAGCGGCTGAGACACAGGTAGCTGTCGCGGCCCGCACGGAAGTGCTTCACGGCCTGGGCGTCGGGCACCTGGCTCACCTCCCCCTGGACCACAAACTGTTTCTGGTTGCGGCTCCACTGGTAGATGACAGGCGCCTGGGAGCTGCTGGACACGATGAGCCGCGGCTTGCCCTCACCATCCACAAACTCCAAGTCCGTGTCCCGGTGCCAGGGGTGCAGGGCCTGGTGGGAGTAGAAGCCATTCTGGTGCCAGCGGTAGAGGCTGGTGGCGCCCGCCTTGGAGCTGTCGGCCACGGCGAAGTACCAGTCGCCGTCGATGCGGAAGGCCTCTAGGTCGTTGGGCTTGCGCACGCGCTGGGGGTCGATGTCCTGCAGCTTCGTGAAGCGCGTAGTGTTGGGGTCCCAGTGGTAGATGTAGGAGCCGCCAAACAGCTGGGCCACCACCATGTACAGCTGGCCGTCCACCACCATCGGTTTGCAGTGCACAGCCGATGGGGCTGCGGGGACAGCGGACAGAGAGGCAGGCGTGGTCAGAGTAGCTGGCAGCTGTCCCACCCCGTGAGAGAAGGAAAACGGGTCCCCTCCAATGCTGGGCTCTGCACCTGCTCAGCACCACTCAATCAAACTCATAACTTTCTATCTCACACCCAATCATCTTTCTGAGCGTCATCCTAGCTCCGCCCCTGCCTCCCAGGAGGCGGGGCCAAATGTAAACCTCCACTGAACTCAGAACAGCAGAACCAGGCTCACTCACCACCCCTCACTGACTACCACCCCTACCAAGCTAGGGTCAACACAGCCACATCAAGGTACCTGGGATCCTGTCGTAGTCTCGAAGCTGCCTTTCAACATAGTCCCACTTGAGGACAGTGCAAGCGCTGGCACCTGGCTGGGCCAGGGCCACATAGAGGTCGCTGGAGTAAAGGAAGGGCTCGGCCGAGACGGCGGGGAAGGACAGGGTCTGATACAACACGAAATCTGTAGAGACCAGGAGGAGAGGTGCCTGGGGTGGGTGCCCCCAAAGATTGGGGAAGGTGGGGGAGGGAGGAGCCTGCTGGGGGGCAGTTTCCAGGTGAGCACAGGGGTGAGGGTGTCGGGAGCGACGGGGCTGCTCCTACCGGTGGTGATACAGTCAAACTCGCGCAACGGCAGGTCCTGCACCTTCTGCTCCTGGAAGCGGGGTGGGCTGGCGCAGTAAATGGGGGCCACGGTGGTATTGGTGTGTGCCAGCCACTCCACCAGCCACTTCACCTTGCAGTCGCAGTTCAGGGTGTTACCCCTCAGGTCCCTGGATGGGGAGAGGGAGACACAGCCCCACGGATAAAGCCTTGGCTTCTCTGTTTGTTTGTTCAAGAATCTTCCACGCAGTGCCCAACCGGCAGAATGGCACAGTGCACTGCCATTCCTGCAGAACATCCATGCACCCTCTGGCAGACTTCTTTTTCTCAACCAGATAAGGACCAAGGATTGTAGCTGTGCTGTGTCTTCCCTATAGAGTCAGCTCAGACCCGTGCTAGCAGCCACAGGCTTTGTAAACACACACACACACACACACACACACACACACGTCTTGTGTATGTGGAGATGGCCCAGGGATATCTTGGGAACCCCAACTTGAAAGACGGCTTACTTGATCCCAATGCCACTAAACAGCCCCACTGCAAGCCCCCCCTCCCTCATCAGGTCTTAGGGTCACTCCGCTTCTGACCCTCCCACCCCTCTCCTTCTGGGGGCTGCTGGACTCAGGCCTTACAGGTCGCTCAGGATGTCCAGGGGCCGAAAGATGTCTCTTGGGAGTGTTTGCAGGTTGTTGTTGGCCAGCGAACTGCAAGAGAGACCACCAAGGGAGGGCAGAACAAACTGGACAACTATCCCAACCAAGCAATGGCAGCAAACATCTGAGTGAATGGAGACGCTAGGGTCGACTACGCCAGGCAGTGGACAGTGCGAGGATTTCCTCATTCTTAGATCAGTGAGATCGACAGCATTTCAGAAGTATCAGAACCACTTAAGCAGAACCCTTGGAGCACGCTCCACACTGGGGATCCTGGGTTGATATGGGCACCCCATCCCTGGGTGGCTGTGTGTGGCTTCTCCCCTTATCTCCCCCCTTCCCCGAGATACAGGAAGAAGAAAAAGGAAATTTGGAAAAATACTGTCTCATCTATTTTCCCCCAACTCTTGATCCTTCCCACCCTGATCAACTGTGTAAACATCATAAAAAAAAATGAAAAAGAGAGAAAAAGAGACAGACCGCCCCCATCCTGGGTCACTGGATCACTCAGACATGGTGCCTGAGGCCAAGGCCACCCAACAGAGGCCCTTGGGGCCAAGCTGGCACTTACAGGTGTGTCAGAGATTTCAGTCCTCTGAAGGTGAACTTGGACAGGGCCCAGATGTCATTGTTTTCAATGAAGCTGTGGGGAGAGGAGTAGGAACCTCAGGGATCCCCCCCCCCCAATTCCTCCAGGAGCCTGGAGCAGAGATTTCACCCTGAGCCCCAGCCTGGGGTCCAACGCGTGTCCCTGAAGGGCTGTTGGCCCTGGGTTGGTACCATCTGCTGTGTGCCTACCAAGGGCAGAGGGCTCCCCCAGCCCCGTGCTCTCTGCTCCAGGCACCCCGCCCCTCCCTCCCACGCACAGGTACTGCAGGTGCGACAGTCCCGAGAAGGCGTTGTCTCCAATCAGCGTGAACTTGTTGGAGTTGAGTAACCTGGGGAAGACGGAGGTGGAATATCAGGCAGCTGCCAAGGACCTGTCCCAGGCCCCAAGCCTCAGCCTGCTGCTTCACCTCCTCAAACCGCCCCGCAGGGCAGGGGGTGGTACCCCAAGGCCTGGCTGGACAGACCCAGAGCATCCCCGCCCTCCCCAGGAGCTGGCAAGATCAGGCACACGCCTATTGCCAGGCTCCGCGCTTGCTCCTGAAGATGGGCAGGGGGCAAGTCTTTCCCATATATGTCTGGTGCTTCCTGTCTCTCCCACCCGTACCCCAAAAGAACCTCCTGCCTTCTCTCCCTTTCCACGGTCCCTGGGGTGGTGTGGGGAGAGGTGGTTGGGGGGGTGGTGGTGGCTATCTTTGAGATGCCCCCTCCCTCATCTCTGGCATGGCCCAAGCTATTGCATGGAACTCCCTAGGGTGCCCTGAGAAGCCCGCTCCATGCCCCACATGCCCCCTTCTGGGCTTGGGCACAGTCCAAGTTCTTGGCTCTTAGTCTCCAGCCCTGCCCTCACCCCTCCTGACAGGCTGCTCCACCCTCCACCTCCCTCTCCAACTGCCCCCCCCCCGCACACACCGGCCCTGGCTCGCTCCCCAGCCTATCCCCACCCCACCGCCCCTGCAGCTGCCTTCGGCCGGCTGGCTCTGTGTCCGTACAGGAATTGCAGCAGCGGTAGATGGGAGAAAGCTCCCTCCTGGATCTCGGAGAAGGCTGCGTTCACCAGGGTCCTGCGGCGGGGACATTGGAATCAGTACTGGGGTGGGGGGGAGATAGTCTGCAGGGTTGTGGGGGGCAGCTGAGGGCAGCGGCTTCTGTACTCACCAGCCCTGGCCTCTGCCTTTCCCCTTCCTCTGCCCTCCCGAGGCAAGGGACCCCCTGGAGGAGCATAACCCCCCAAAGGTGCTTCTGTTACTAGTACCCACAAAGTGCTGTCCGTCAAGGAGGGAGGAGCGACTGTCCAGCTCCCTAAGCCCCTCGAGCAAGGGGCTGTGGGGGGGTCTTGGAGGAGCTTGCTGCAAGCACCCACTGGCTGCCCTGAGCAGCTGGCTCCCATGCAGTGCTATGGAGAAGCACCCCTGCCCCCTCCCTGCCCGCCCTGCAGCCGGTTCTCCCTCCGACAAGGGGCCTTTCTTGGCCTTGGAGTGACATCACAGGCAGGGACCCAGAGGCTCATGTAAACACCCCAGTTTCACTACCAGGGGACATGGCCTGCCACACAGTAGGTCTCTGTAATGGTGGCCACCATGGGTCTGGGCCCCCTTCCCCTAGTCTTGGCCACTGCATCTGCCCCAATGCAGAACTAACTCCCTGTCAACCCCTAAGCGCTCCCACCCTCACCCAGGCACTGAAGACCAGGAAGATGGGGTTCCTGACTTCCTCTGGCACCCCTTCCCCCACCCCCACCCCTGCCCCAGCCAAGGGGACACTCACAGGGAGATGACCTCGGAGGGCAGGCTCCTGGGCACGGCCTTGGAGTCCACGCAGAAGGCTGTGTCCCTGGTGCAGGAGCAGCTGGGCGGGCAGGGGGGTGTCTTGGGGGGTCTCTTGGCACTGACTTGGATCATTAGGCACAGGCTCAGCACGGACAGCGCCAGCAGCCCCAGCGCTGCGTGGCCCTGTGGGGTCCGCAGCCGCACCATGCCGCTTGCAATCTGCAAGCACTCTCTCCTGCTGTCCCACCGTTCTCCCACGAGCAGGGCCACTCCAGGCAGCCAGCCTGCAGCCGCTGCCGCAGCTAGGGGCCCGCCTGCGGGCTGCGCGGAGCTGACTGCTTCTGCCTTCCCCCCCACTCCGGCCGCGCCGGCTGCAGTACCCGGGTCCCTTGCTCAGTCCTGCGCGCCGGCGCCAGCGGCTCGGGAAGGATGCGCGGGAGCCCGGAGCTGCAAGCTTCAGGGCTGACCGGGTGGGGTGGACGCTGACTGCAGCGTGGCGTGGTGGCGCCGGCGGCGGCGCGGACGCGCGCAGGGGCGGAGAGGGGCAGGCCCGGGGGCCTGGGAGTCGCCAGAGGACGTGGTAGTGGCGCCCTAGCCAAGGCTGCCGCAGCTGCTGGGTGCCCTTTTAGGCCAGCCCGTCTTTAGGCCATCTGCTTGTGCCTTGGCAGTCAGGGCGCGGTGCAGGCGTGTGCCCACGTGGCTCAGGCGTGACTGTGCACACCTGTGTCTGCGGGGTAGGTCTTGGCTGAGTCCAGGGCATGTTGTGAGTGCCATATGTATACCATGATTAGCTGGCTAGTTTATAAGCACGAGGGTGTGCACCCCGTTTGAGCGCACGCGTGTGTGTGTGTGTGGGGGGGTAGGTTACAAGGGAATTCACGCATCTCCACAGCTCCCCAACAGAACGGGTCTTTGTATCTGCCCAGATGAAGGGTGGGGATGTAGCACTTGGGGTTGCAGCGGGAATGCGTGGGATTCGGGAACATTCCTCACTACACAGCTACTAGTGGGGCTGGGGGTCGGAGTGGGGATGGGGTTAGGCTCCCTTGCACTCTAGTCCATTGTTTAAGAAATGAGAAATCTTGGGCCAGGCGCGGTGGCCTAGTGGCTAAATTCCTCACCTTGCATGCACTGGCATCCCATATGGGCACAGGTTCTAATCCCAACAGCCCCACTTCCCATCCAGCTCCCTGCTTGTGGCCTGGGAAAGCAGTGGAGGACAGGCCAAAACCTTGGGACCCTGCACCCGCGTGGGAAACCTGGAAGAGGGTCCTGACTTCAGATAGGCGCAGCCCTGGCTATTGCTGCCACTTGGGGAATGAATCAATGAACAGAAGATCTTCCTCTCTGTATATCTGACTTCCTAATAAAAACAAATCTTAAAAATTAAAAATGAGAAAACCTGAGCTGACCCATAGGGCACAGGAGCAATGCCTGCTGTCACAGCCGCTGGTCGTGACCTTGAGGGGTGGGTGGCGGGAGCCCCTTTCACAGAGAAGCAAAGTGAGGCTGTGGAGGTTTCGGCGGCAGCTGTCTTTTTCACACCAAGGTCTTCCGAGTGCAGGGCCCCCGGAGGCCCCAGGGAATCTTGATATGCTTCCGGGAAGTCCTTGAGGTCCAGCAATGGTCCTCTAAATGTTGAGAGGTTGTTTGTCCTTTCTGCCCAGGTGCCATCCCTGCAGGCCCCTGGAAATTTCCAGAAGCCACAGAATCTGTGTGTGTCTCCGTAAAAGTGTCCACCCAAAAGCACTCTTCAAGCCTTCTGTTTTGCTTTGTGTAAAAGAGTTCATTTGCATGTATAAATGTATGTGATGGATGATCTAGCGCAGACAGAATAGATTTATGGAGAACTTTTGTTTTTTAATATTTATTTTGATTGGAAAGGCAGATTCACAGAGAGAAGAAGAGACAGAACAATCTGGGTCCAGGGAGGTGGCCTAGCTGCTAAAGTCCTCACCTTGAACGCGCCAGGATCCCATATGGGCACCTGTTCTGATCCCAGCAGCTCTACTTCCCATCCAGCTCCCTGCTTGTGGCTGGGAAAGCAGTGGAGAAAGGCCCAAAGCTTTGGGACCCTGCACTGACATGGGAGACCTGGAAGAGGCTCCTGGCTCCTGACTTTGAATCGGCTCAGCTCCAGCCATTGTGGCTGCATGGGGATTGAGTCATCAGATGGAGGATCTTCCTCTCTGTCTCTTCTCCTCTCTGTGTATCTGACTTTCCAATGAAAATAAATAAACCTTTTTAAAAGAGAGAGAGAAAGATCTTCCATTTAATTTTTACTCCCCAAATGGCCACAACAGCCAGAGCTGAGCTGAGCTGAAGCCAGAAGCCAGGAGCTTCTTCTGGGTCTCCCACGTGGGTGCAGGGTTCCAAGGTCTTGAACCATTTCTGAGGGTGTAAGTAGGAAGCTGGATGGGAAGTGAAGCAGCTGGGATTAGAACCGGTGCCCATGTGGGATCCCGGTACCGCAAGCAGAGGCTTAACCACTATGTAAGCCTCTATTAGCGATCTTAAATAAATATTTTAAAATCCTTTGATAAATATTTAAGCAGTCAATATCCCTAACTAGAAACCCACAGAGAAACATCTTTGACACATGTTAGGGTTGCCAAAGGGGTTCTGGAACCAAAGCCTTGGAGAAAGCTGCTCTTTCCTGGATTACTACTGGGAGGAAGGGGCATGTCGGGGGCGGGAGCGAGGGAAGATGACAGTCCTGGGGGGCTCACAGGGCAAGGGGGCCCTGATGGAGTGGGGGGATAGCTTCGTGTGTGCCCAGTACTGCACTCTTCTAGTCTCAGCCCATGAGGCCAAGCCCTCTGGTTTCAGATGCATGCCCAGCTGGCCCCAGAAACTGGGGCTTCTCAGGCTTGGGCAGCAAGGGATGCCCCTGGCCCGGGAGGCCCAGTGGGCACTGCCCATCCAGCTGTTTGTGCAGCCCTCTCCACGCCAGCCCGGAGGGGAGGGAAGCAGCAGGCAGGCGGTGGTGGAGGCAGGGGTGAGGGCGGCTGGGGCAGCTGTGCAGCCGTCCCCGCCGTGCCCTGGCACAGCTCTGCCCAGCACACAAAGGAAAGAGTGAGTTGTGTCCCGTTGTCTGCAGCTGAGGGGCTGGGTTGGGGAGAGGAGGGCGGGGAGGACCAGGGGGGACACACACAGAAGGGGTGGCTATCGTGGGACTCTCTGTCCCACACACTTGCCGGGAGAACCCGGGGACAGGCCAAACAGAGCAGTCCGAGGGACTGTGCCTAGCCCGTGAGGGCAGCTCTAGGGGGTGGACACGATGACGTTAGGCATGCTGCCAAGTGGACTGGCGTACACATAGTGTCACTGGGTCCTCACAGCAGCTCCGCAAGATGGACAGTAGTCCCATGTCACAGATGGACACGCGGAGGCCTTGGGAAGCAAAGTGACTCATTCTGGGCCATAAGACCCAGCGGAGTCAGCATGTTTGATTGAAACGGCTGCATCAGCGGCTGGTCGGGGCGGGGGACCACCACCCCCTCCAAGGTTCCCTAAGGTTGCAGACCTCCCTAGCAGGTGGGTGCCAACGTCTGAACTTCACCTGTGAAACAGGAGGGTAACAGAGTGTTTTTGAATGAGTCAGGGGTTGGCAGGGCAGTTACGAAAGATGTCACCCACCTACGATGTCCTTCATCCCTCGTCAGAGCGCGGCCGTTTGTGTCCCCGAGACTCTGCTTGGGGTCCAGCTGACGTGCACCCCAGGAGGCAGGGACTGATGATGGGTCAGGTGCTTGGGTACCCGGCATCCACACGGGAGGTCCATGTTGAAGTTTGCAGTTCCTAACCTCATAGCTGGGCCCAGCCCCAGCTACTGTGGCAAAATGTGTGGAGTGTGAGCCAACATATGGAAGATCTCTGACTCTGTTTAGTAATGAGAAGGAAGGGCGGGGCAAAATGGCTCAGTGACTAAATCCTCACCTTGCACACGCTGGGCTCCCATATGGGCATAGGTTCATGTCCCACCTGCTCTACTTGCCATCCAGCTCCCTGCTTGTGGCCTGGGAAAGCAGCAGAGGACAGCCCAAAGCTTTGGGACCCTGCACCCACATGGGAGCCGGAAGAAGCTCCTGGCTCCTGGCTTGGGATCGGTTCAGTTCTGGCTATTGCAGCCATTTGGGGAGTGAACCAGCAGATGGAAGATCTTTCTTTCTCTGTGTAAATCTGCTTTCCCAATAAAAAAAATAAATAAATAAATGTTGAAACAAACAACAGGAAAGCAATTTAAAAAGCCATGCAGCTTGCAAGATCCTCAGCCCAAGGGTAGGTAGCCGACAGGGGAGGCTACAGAGGGCAGAAACCTTCTAAGAAACTTCATATTGGTCCCTGCTTGGACCAAGCCCCAAAACTGCTGGACAGTGCTGCCCCCTTCCCCTTGCCAGAGATGCCCAGAAGGACCCCAAGGTGCTTGCTGATCCCTTTGGCGGCTCTCCCCTCTGCCTGGCCGGCTGCCCACCTGGCTCAGCTCCAGCCCCAGTGAGTCAGCCATTGATCCTGGCGTTGCCAGGACGACTGGGCGGAGGGGGCTCTGGGGAGCCGGCAGGGGTGGGCACTGCGGCTGAGTCGTCTCCTGCATCTGGCACCTGCCCACAGCTCAGGCTGTGCTGAGAGGGTGATGCTGTTTTCTCCCTGCTCCCTGCCCCAGTCAGCTGGGGCCACTCTCTCTGGCTGCTGATGGCTTGGGCAAATATTACAAGGGAGCAGATTGGGGGTGGGGGACTGAGGAAGGTTATGGGAACAAACATTTCCTTCCCCTTCTCATGCCTTTATAGTTATGCAACGTGGAGAGAGAGGGTCCTTGTGCCAGGGCTGGGGAATGGCCCCAGCTCATGACCCAGGAGTGGGGCCAAAATGTGAAGGAGCCAGGGCAAGGGATGGGGCATGGAGTGATGACAAAGAGGCTAGGCTGGGAGGTGGGTGGTGATGTGGGGTCCCAATGGACACGTCTGCAAAAGCTTTCAGGTCCGATCATGACCACAGATGAAGGGAGAGTGGTGAGAGGAAAAAGGTGGTGCCAACCTCGAAGCCACCTGCCAATGTGAGAGTTAAACATAGACAAAGCTTTGTGTGTGTGTGTGTGTGGGGGGTAGGACAAGAGGGACCAGGGGGACCGTGAGGGGATAAGGAATCCTCTTGGGGGGCACATAAGAGCAGGGAGACAGTGAGCCGTGGAGAACCGTGGAGCCCCGCGGAGCAGGGAGCCTGGGGCCAGCGAGCAGGCACAGGGAGGCTGGGAGCCAGCCAGTCACCACACCCAGCCCTGAGCGAGCTTGCCTCAGGAGCTGGGAACGCAGGGTCAGGCACAGAACCTGTCATCCCGCAAAGCAAGGATGGCACATATTGAGTAAGAGTTTCCCACCAGCGGGGACAGAGTTTCCGAACTTGGAAAAGAATGGCTGGGGAAGGGGGCCAGTTGGAGGTCAGGTAGGGGATGCGTGGGATGAGGCCAGGGCGAGGTGGAAGGTTCCATTCAGACCTCCCAGAGAAAATGCATGTCTGATGCCACAGTCCTCCCTCTGGCCTCAACAGAGGTCTTTAGGGGGGTCTGCCAGCCCCCATCTAGCTCACCCCTAGAGGTCTTTGTGGGCCAGACTGAGGGGATCCCCCTGTGGGGGCAGCTGCCAGCAGCAAGGATGGGCAGAGGCCAGGAAACTCCCGTGGGGACAGGTGCCAAGGGGCAGGTCTGTTCAGCTGGGGTCAAGAAGAGTCCCGTGCAGGGGCCAAGGGTCCTCAGGACTGGCGTGGGGGTGCTCTTGCAGCTGGCTTATCAGGGCCTTGGCTCTGGAGGGTGAGGAACAAACAGACTTCAAAGCCAAGGACTTGGCTGGCCACTGGCGAGGACCTGGCCCTTCTCCTCCGCCCTCTGTTCCCAGGAACACATATAAGGCCCTCGACAGCCCCCGGAGGTGAGGCAGGCGAGAACCCGCAGCAGGATGGATGTGGGCAGCAAAGAGGTCTTGATGGAGAACCCACCGGTGAGTGTGAGCAATGGTGTGTGTGGAGAGCCCGGCCTCTTCCACATCAATTTGCACAGCCAACCTACGACTATGTTCAGTTAGGACAGGGCACCCCAGGAATCCCTGAGACAGAACCCCTGGGGGAGAAGGATACGGGTCCAACCATTGTAAAGAAATGCCAGCCACCCTAGGAAATGGTCAGTAAAAAGGGTTGGGAAGGTGGTAGCATTGAGGCACAGTAGGCTGAGCTGCCACCTGTGAGTCCGGCATCCCGTGTCCAAGCTGGTTCAAGTCCTGGCTGCTCCACCGTCTCACCCAGTCCTAGCTGCCCTGCAGATGCACCTGGGAGAGCAGCAGAAGATGGTCCAAGGGCTCGGGTCTCACGTGGAAGCCCTGCATGGGGGTTCTAGGCTCCTGGTTTCAGCCTGGCATAGTCAGTCTAGGGCCACTGGGAAGAGAAACAGTGGATAGAAGATCTCTCTCTGTCTCTCCCTCTCTTTTTAAATTCTCCAGCTCCCTCCTTCTTCCCATCTCTCTGTCTCTCCTTAAAAAAAAAAAAAAAAAGAGTTGTTAGAAAGTAGGTCAGAGGAGCCGTTGAGTACTTAGTAGGTCCTGGAGAGATGACAGGTGGATTCAGAGAAGAGGCTGGCCTGGCAGAAGGGAGAAGGAAGTGCAGATGAAGGCTTGGAGGCATGGAGAGCCTGGGCTAGCTGTGGGACTCAGGTTGGCTATGGCTGTGGGCTGGGGCTCTAGGAAAACGTGCAGGGAACTTAGGTGCCTGTACACTCGGGCCTTGTTCTAGGCTCCTCGGGGTTGGAATTCAGGCTGTTTCTTTCACGAAGCCTCCTCTGCCCTTTGCAGTGGTGGCCAGTCGTCCCTCTGAGCCTGTGGGAGGGAGGGGGCCTGTCCAGCTGGCACAGGACTCAGCTGTCCCCTCTGGGCAGGACTACTCGGCAGCACCCCGGGGCCGCTTCGGCATCCCTTGCTGCCCCCTGCACCTGAAGCGTCTTCTCATTGTGGTCGTGGTGGTGGTCCTGGTGGTCGTGGTGATCGTCGGGGCCTTGCTCATGGGGCTCCACATGAGCCAGAAGCACACGGAGATGGTGAGGGGGCTGGTTCCCGGATGGAAGGGTACAATGAGGGAGGAATGAGGCGGGTGTGTGTGTGTGTGTGTGTGTGTGTGTGTGTAGGGGGTGATGTCCCCACACCTTGGGAGCCCTCTGAGAACTGAGGGGCCCACAGGTACTAAAGTGGGGAGAGGCACAACAAGAATGTCTTCTGGCCTCCTACAGGTGCTAGAGATGAGCATGGGGGCATCAGAGGCCCAGCAGCACGTGGCCCCGAGCCAGCGTGGGGGCACCACGGCCACCTTCTCCATTGGCTCCACTGGCATGGTCACCTATGACTACCAGCAGGTGGGTCAGCCTGCATCTCCTGACCCCAGGGCTGAGAGGGGGAGGGTACCCAGGACAAGACTGGGGTCACCAGCTGCGACCTCATTACACCTAGCTCTCCCTATGTCCCAGTGCTCTGGCCTCCCCCGAGGGGTAGTACCTATTCCCTCTTAGGGGCTCAGTGGGGACAGAGGTGGGCAGTGGGCAAGGCAGGGGCCTTCCCATATGAACTCTGTAGCATGCCATACCCAGCTCCTGATTGCCTACAAGCCGGCCCCAGGAACCTGCTGTTATCTCATGAAGATGGCTCCCGACAGCATCCCCAGCCTTGAGGCTCTGACTAGAAAATTCCAGAACTTCCAGGTGAGTGCGTGGGTGAAAGGAGGTGGGGCTGTCTGCTCCTGGGGACTACATCTGAGATGCCAATGTCCTCCCCCTGCCGCGTCCCCAGACTCACCTGCCCTACCACCCCTGCTCCGGCCCATGCCCCCCCCCCCCACCTTCCAAGTTGCTGGCCTCCAATGCTGGACATCGGCCTCAGGTCCCATAATAAAGGTTGCAGGTGTATCTGAGTCTGGGGTCCCTGGGACTCCAAGCCTGGTACTCTTTCTAGGCCAAGCCTGCTGAGCCTGCCTCTCAGCTGGGCCCAGATGGGGGGCTAGGCGCCCCAGGCCCCGCGGCCTCTGGAGGAGCAGACCTGGCCTTCCTGGGTGTGGCCATGCGCACCCTATGTGGCGACGTGCCGCTTATCTCCATCTAAGACCCTCTTGGACTGCAGGTGAGTTCACGGCCTAGGGACCCCCGGCTCACAGCCACAGGCCCGCTCCCTCGGGAGGGTCACAACAGTGCGTTTGCCCCCACAGGGGAAGCCCAGAAGCACCTGGAGGGAGCCCGGAGCAGAGCCCGCCACCACAGGGGCCCCGCCTGGAGCAACGGGCAGGGAGAGGTGGGGAGTGGGCAGCGGAGAGAGGCAGTCCCCCAGGGCCGGGGACCCCCTACCACAAGATATTAAAGCAGTCCAAGGTGAAAAACATCACCGTGGGTTCTGACTTTTGTCTTCTTCCGACGCCGTGCGCGCGGTCTGGCTTAGGGCATGGAGAGCTTCGGTGGAGCCAGGGCGCTGAGCCAAGCGATCGGGCTTGGGCGGGGGGGGAATGGGGTCCACCCCGGCGGGGCAAAAGGGGGCCGGACGGGGACGCGACCCGGGAGCCATCCCCGGGCGCCAGGCGCCCCCAAGCGGTGTGTCCGGGAGGGATGGCGAGACGCGAGGGAGCGCGCGGGTCCGGGAAGGGAGTCACACAGGGCGACGCAGCCCGAGGCGGAGGGACCGAGGCCAGGGGAAGAGCCAGCGGGCGAGCGACCTGACAGCGTGTCGCCCGCCTCCGCGAGGCCCGGGTCCCGCGGCCGTGGGGGGAGCTGCCGCTAGAGGGCCCCTGCCCGGGAGCTGGCCGAGCCGCGCGCGCCCCTCCGGTTCCCCGGCCTCCCCGGACCCCCCGGCCCTCAGGCCCCCGGAGCGGCCGGAGCCCCCCTCCAGGGCTGGCGCGCGCGGCTCGCTCGCCTCCGCCCCCGGCTGGCGCGCAGCCCGGCCCCGGGCCTGGCCCGGCCCCGAGGTGGAGGGGCCGAGCTCGGGCGAGAACCCGCCCTCCAAGCGAGCTCATTTCCCTAAAAAGCCGGAGAGGGGGGCAGGGGGAGGGGAGCGAGAAAGAAAGACAGCGAAGAAGGGAAGGAAAAGGAAGGGAAGAGAAGGCAAGGGACGGTGAGGTTGCGGGGCCGCGGCCGAGGGCGAGCGCGGCCGGCCGGCGCGCGCGGGGGGCGGGAGACAGGAAGGAGGGAGGCGAGCGGAGGGAAGCGCGGGGAGCGCGCGGGGGGAGCGAGAGAGCGAGAGAGCGAGCGAGCCCGCCGCCCGGGGGGGAGCGCCTCCCTTGCCTGCCTTGCCTTGCCTTGCCTTGCCTTGCCGGCCGTCAGTCGCCTCCCGCGCCGGGCGACCCACCGACCCCGCGCGCACCCCGCGCGCCCCGCGCCGCCAGCATGCCCGGCGTGGCCCGCCCGCCGCTGCCACTCGCGCTGCTGCTGTTGCTGCTGCTGCTCGCGCGCCCCGGCCGGCCGCTGGACTTGGCCGACTACACCTATGACCTGGGGGAAGACGACGACCCGGAGCCTCTCAACTACAAAGACCCCTGCAAGGCGGGTGAGCGCCAGCGCTGGGGTCCCCCTCATCCCCTCCCCCCCCACCACCCGTTGTCCGGGGCTCGCCGGGCCGGCGCGCGCGGCAGGCGGGCGGGGGCGCAGGCTGCTTTAGGGTCTGGGGTTGGGTGGGGGGAGGACAGTCCAGTGTGGGAAGCCGGGAGCTGCCTGGTTGGCAATGCAGTGGGGGAACAAAAGAGCGAGGGATATAGGGAGGGGAAGTTTGGGGGACTTTGCGTACTGAAGTTTTGGCTGCCGCTGGTGGCCGCCGCTTGCGGCTGCTTGCGGTCCTTAGCGAGGATTCCCCCTGGAAACCTTCAGCCCGGGGATCCCTGGTCCCGAGAGAAAGCAGCCGGCGAGCAAGCTGTGTCTTCTGCGGGGAACTTTTCTGGCCAGATTCTGTTGCGCGCGAGTGCTCGCGCCGCCTTTTCCCTTCTCCCCTGTCTCCTCTGCTCCGGAGCACTGGTGCTTTCCAGCCCCGCCGTGCCCTGGGATGCACCCCCCTGGGGGGGTGGGGGAGGGAGTGCTACGTATCTGGCCTGGTGCTGCTCCGAGGACCCCCATCTCCAGGAGGAAGAGAGTTGTTCCAGGGGTTTTCCTCTGTCCTGTGGTCCCAATGGCAACAGCTTTTTGGGAACCCAGCAGAGGACAGATGTCAAAGCTATAAAGAACCTAGCCTTGGAGGATGGGTGGTGGTGGTGGTGAAGTTCCCCTTGCCCCTGCTGGCCGTGCCAGGAGGCCCCTGCCAAAACCAGGGTGGGGTGGAAAGTAGACGAAATCCAAGAACTCTGCTTTTCTCTGCTCCCTCAGCCTCAGTGTGTGTGTGTGTGTGTGTGTGTCTCCTGTGCCACTGGTGGAGCCACCAGGGTCCTGTTCCCTTGTGGTGACCAGATGGCTAGGAGCTTGGGTCGTTGGCCCCAGTCGGTGATGCAAAGTGGCTACAAGGAATAAGAAGGGACCCTCTACTTCCTGGCTCCGGCTCTGACTTGAGCCTGTCACCCAATAGCTAGGGTGCTGGCAACACTCTGGTGTGGCCTGTGTGTGTTGGGCACGAGGGGTTCTGGAAGTGGGGGAGGGCAGCTGTCTCTGGACCTGACCACCTGTCCCTACCCCCCTGGGGACCCTGATGGAGGGTCTCCTTGATGGAAGTATCCTCTGTGGGTGGAAGACTGGAATAGGAAACAGGTGAGTGGGGGAAGGGGGGCACCAAGCCCTTGAGCTCCCTTCCTCCTCCAACCCTGCTGGGCTCCCAGAGGGAGCTGTCCTGTTTCTCACTGGATGCAGGGCTGGGGGTGGGGAAAGAGGTGGGCAGAAGGCAGTGTGAGCACACAGCATGGGCACTGGAGGCAGGTGAGATGGCTTGCCACCCTGGACCTGCCGCTCAGGGGCTGTTCCATGTTAGACGCATTGATTGAACTGTCCACATGTCATCTTCCTCATCTTTAAAATGGACCTGGTCACACGGTGGGGGAGCTGGTGGATAGGAAGGGAGCGTTGGGTACGTGTTAGCCACCTGCCTGCTGCCGCTGGCTGCACCTCAGACACCCTTCCCTTTGTGTCTGGAGAGAGATACAAGCTTGAGTTTTTGGGATGGGATGGTGTCCCCATTAGCCGAGCTCCAGGTAAACAGGTTGGGCCTTGTGAATGCAAAATGCAGAATCACATTGTGGGGGATACGGTTGGAAGAGCCGGGGAAGGGTGGTGATAGGATGCCACACATGGCCAATTCCATATCATGAAACTTTGTGTCCGTGTCTCCCCAAAATCCAAAGCATTGTATGCAACATGTAAGGTGTATGGGAAACCCAAGTCAGTTTCAGAGTTTCCAGCTCTGAGATATCTCATGATGTAGAGATTTCAGAATCTGGAAGAAAAAACACTGCAAAACCCCAAATGCTTGTGGTCTCACTTCCCAGTTGAGGGTCAGTGCAGCTGGACAGAATTGCTGTGTGGGAGGAAGATAAGGCAGGCTGCCTCCCACCCTGTCCTCTGGGAGCTGACAGTCACACACACACACACACACACACACCACCCCCGCCTTGCAGGGACCAGACCACATATGGTTATACAGATCTGGGCTATGTAAAGTGCCAGGCTGGAGGGTGTTGTGCCACTGGCTCCACACTTGGTGGCCCTGGGGCTGGTGCTGGGGTCTGCACAGAGTGGAACATAGTCTTGAATACAAGGGGCTAGAAGGGGCTGGAGTTGTGACACAGCCTGTTAAGTCACTGCCTACAATACCAGCATCTCATCCTGGCACTGGTTTGTGTTCTGGCTGCTCCACTTCAGATCCAGCTCCCTGCCGATAACCCTGGGAAAGCAGAGGAAGATGGACCGAGTGCTTGGCCCCATGGGAAACCCGGATGGAGCTCTGGGCTACTGACTTTGGCCAGGCCCGGCCTTGCCCACTGCGGAACTGAATCAGTAGATGGGAGATCTTTCTACTTCTATATATCCCTGCCTTTTAGATATATAAGACATTTTTATTTAAAAAAAAAAAATGGGTGGGAGACTGCCATTCTGATGAATTTGATCTGTGCTAGAAACGGGTGTGATTTGGGGAAAAGCAAGCAGCCAATGGCTCTATCCCCAGTCTCAGATTTCATGCTAGGGTGGGGCTGGCTGAGCTGGAACCTCAAAGGGGTGGAGGTGGCGGTGGGGGGATGGGGTGAAGTGAGGCTGGTGCGGAGCTGGGCCAGGCCCGAGGGTGGCCAAGAGAAGGTCTTGAACCCAAGCAGACCAAGTACAGGCCTCACGAGGCACCCCTGCTTTGGGTTCCTGGTGTTGGTTCCTAAAATCCAGCCCTGGGGGAAGCTGAGACAGGGCTGTCCAGGCTTCTACACACGTGTGTGCACACACATACACACATACATGTACCAGTCATCGCCAAGGTTCTACACGCAGGTGCACACACAGACACGCCCTCTGCTGAGCGCATGTGCCTCTGTGCAACTCTGGGTGGAACTCCAGGTCCCGGCCCTGGAGGCACAGGTGCCTGGATTCTCCTCTGTGTAATGCTTTTGCTGTCTATGGCAGGTGACGAGTAGGCAGGTGTACACTCTGACCTTTGCCCTCTCGGCTCCCTCCTCACCTAAGGAGCAGGAGTGAGACTACATTCACCCCCGGCCTGGGTTTCCATGATCTTTCAGCTGTCCCAGGTCCCTTAGTTTGAAATCATTCTGGCATGGTTCCTGTTACTGCGGGGGCACTGCTTAGGCCCTAGATAGCCTGAAAGGGACCCGGACAGTGGCAGGAAGCCAGGGAGGGTTTGTGTGTGTGCTCAGAGCTGGCCATTAAGCCCACCTCCCCCTAGTCCTTACCTGGGGCGTGTCCAGGTAGCTCTGGTTCTCTGCCAGGTTGGGATGCCAACCCCTGACACAGCAACCTTCCTCAAGATGCCCAGCTCCACTCAGTTGCCTCTAGCCCACTGGCCAACAGCCCTGAGCATCCAGTGAAAGACCCAGTAGGCCGGCTACAGGAGCAGGTGACACAGACTCCAGGGAGCCTCCTAGGAGGAGAGTACAGGCTCCGGACAGTCCCTTCCAGACACCCAGTGAGTCACCCGCCCACCAGACCCCCTGGGCTGTGAGTCACCCTCTCTCAGTGCCCTGAGGGAGGAGGAAGAGCCGGACAGGGTCCTGGGCTCCAGACAGAGGGGCCCAGTGGAACTCCCAGGTGGTATGTACCCTGGGGGTCCTAATTCCTGCAGGGATTTGGGGAGAAGGTGCTAGGGAGGTGGTGGGGTGTGCTGCTGCTTGGAGCACCAGGGACCGCTTCAGAGTATTCCAGGGGCTCAGCCCGTCTTTCTCTCTCACCTGTGCATGCTATGCATTCCGGTCCGTTTCTTCTTTTATCTCGTTTTTTGGAAAAGGAGAGCGACTGGGAGAGGGACCTGCTAAGCAGCGGTTCGCTCTGAAAATCCAGCAGTGGCTGAGGTTGGGGCCAGTTCTCAAGCCGGCAGCCCTTCTGGAGTTTCCCACGTGGGTGACAAGGACTCAAGCAGCCGAGCGCTCAGCTCCTGCCTGCTTTTGGGGGCACACAGGCAGGAAGCTAGATCCAAAGTGGGTCTGGGATCCAAACCCAGGACACTGATGTGAGTTATGGGTGTCACAGCCATCGAGTGGCCCAATGCCGGCCCTCCACCTTCCCCGCCCATCACTCCCCCCCCACCTATTTCCTCTTCTTTTTTTAATTTAAGATTTATTTATTTTTTATTGGAAAGACAGATTTTTACAAAAAGAAGGAGAGATAGAAAAATCTTGTGTCAGCTGCTTCACACCCCAAGTGACCGCAACAGCTGGAGCTGAGTCAATCTGAACTTCTTGCGGGTCTCCCACGTGGGTGCAGGGTCCCAAGGCTTTGGGCCATCCTCTGCTGCTTTTCCAGGCCACAAGCCAGATGGCAAGTGGAGCAGCCAGGATACAAACCGGCGCCCATGTGGGATCCTGGTGCATGCAAGGCAAGCACTTTAGCCACTAGGCTACCGTGCCAGCCACCCTCCATCTATTTCCAAGAGTGTCTGTCTCCTTTGGGGAGAGATGTGTGCTGGTGAGGCGTGCGTATCTGCAGTTCGTTGTGTGTGTTGGCCAGGCCTGTGGCGCGTCCTCCCCTGGCTAGATAACACTTCCTGTGCTACTAGAGGCCTGGCTATGGAGTGGCCACAAGTGTCCCTGACTGCTAGGAGACTTTATGCCCCCTGTTGAGGACCATCACCACCCTATCCCTGACCTTGACCCAGGGGTTCTTTCTTTGCAGGAGAAGGCATCCTGGTCCCCTGTTTGGCCTCATCCCAGATGAGCAGGACCCCCAGGCCCAGTTCCTGGCCATCTGCCCGCCCCTCCTCACCCCCCACTCCATTCCCATGCATTCTTGGGCCATGACATCCCCACAGCAGGGTGCCTGCTCCCAGCTGTGCTCTGCCTTCCAGTTGCCAGGGGCCCCCGGGGGACCCACAGGCCAGTGCTGACCCATGGCCTCTCTGTGCTGGGGTTGGCTGCCACCAGGGAACGGGTGGCTGTGTGTGTCCTGTTAAGGCGTGCTGCTAGGCAGGCCTGGAGCTTCTGTGTATGAGGGGGTGGGGTGTGTGGTTGGGGGTCCCCGTGAGGCGCTGTTTGCTCTGCTCCAGGAAGAGTTTATTCATCTTGTCAGTGAGTACAGCAAGCCCAGCTGGGAGCCAGGCTAACTCTGAAGTCCTCGTGCTTTGTCACACAGCCAGAGGTGGGTGGGAACGGCCGACCGTGCACGTGTGCAATCATCCCCCCCGCTATCCCACAACTGCAGAATCAGCCAAAACAGAGGAGGGGAGGGAAAGAAGCTCCGTGTCTGCCCCAGCCGCACCCTCCCAGTAGCGCAGCCTTGACGCCGCATTGCCGTGGTATTGGGTGTCTTGAAAGTACGGAGGAGGTTGCGTGTCAGTGGTATGCAAATGTGGTACTACTGCCTAGGATGAAGGACCCCAACGAAGGGAGAACTGCTGAGTGTGCGGGGGTCCTGGGAAAATCCATGGGACCCTGCATCTCCATGGGAAACCTGGAAGATGCTCCTGGTTCCTGGCTTTGGATTGGCGCAGCTCCAGCCATTGCGGCTACTTGGGTAGTGAACCAGCAGGTGGAAGATCTTTCTCTCTGTCTCTCCTTTCTGTCTATCTGCCTTTCCAATAAAAAATAAATGAATCTTTTTAAAAAGGTGGAGCTGAGTTGATAAAGCCAGGAGCTTCTTCTGTGCCTCCCGCATGGTCCCAGGGCTTTGGGCCATCCTTCACTGCTTTTCCAGGCCACAGGCAGGGAGCTGAATGGGAAGTGCAGCAGCCAGGATTGGAACTGGTGTCCGTTATGGGCTACTGGTGCTTGCAGGCTGAGGACTAGCCAGTTAAGCTACTGCACCAGCCACAGAGCAAGACTTCAGGTGTGAGAAGCTGAAGGGATTCTGGGCCACTCTGGCTGGTGAGCGTGGACTGGTGGTCATTTCTGATGTGTTCTGATCTGGAATGGTTGTGGGGGCTGGGGTGACCTGCAGCTTGTGCCTGCATCCCGGAGTTGGTGTTGGGGATGTGAGCAAGAGTGTGAGTGGACTGTGATATCCTAGGCACGCTGTTGGGTACAGGGACGGTGGGGGGCAGGCTGAACTCCCCTTATTAATGCCACGTCACTTTGTCCACTGGAAAGCCCTCAGCTGGTCTCTGCGGATGGTCCCCCAAACCATCACAGGTATGACTCTGCTTGATGGACGTGGCTTGTGCCTGTGTGCACGTGTGTGTGTGCGTGTGTGTGCGCGCGCACGCCTATTCTGACACTGCTCTTAGAGTGTGGTCATGACCAGCAGACAGGAGGCCGAGGGGCTCAAGTTATATGAACCCAGCCTTCCCAGTAAATCACAGTGCAGTCATGGCTAAAAGTCATTTCCCTTCTGGGCCTCAGTTTTGCTCACCTGTGGAGTGGGTGGTTGGCCAAGGAACAGCTTGGGGACGTTTGCACTTTCTGCCTATCCATGACTATAGATTGTGGTGCTTTGTGTGTGTGTGTTCTATTCACGCAGGAGGCCCCCTGCCTCCGTCTTCCCCAGAAGCCCAGCTCTGGGCACTGCTTCTGTGTGTGGGGAGGTGTGTATTCCTGTCTCTGACATGCGCAGTTCTACCTGCGTGGCACAGGTGTGACTGCCATCCCATACATCGTCACAGGAACACTCGGCGCCTGTGTCTGAGCTTGGATGTGTCCACCCGGTGGAGCGGATGCCTGCTTGTTAAAGCCTTGGGGTCACAACAATCTGTATGCTGCTGACTGAAGGGCTGGCCTGTGGGCTGGGAAGCAGGTGTCCCTGCAGGTGCTGCCGGAGCACTCTGTCCCACCTCCAGCCCAGTCTCACTCCATTCCTTCCTGCCTCCCCTTCCCAGGCTGAGCCCAGCAAGGAAGCCTCCCTCGTGAGCCCTTTGCACAGGCCGCGTTTCCCCTTGGCCCACACTCGTCTCCATCCATCTCTCCCTAGCTCTGGGAATCGAGATGGCCCATTTCCAGGAAGCCCTCTTTCTTTCAGGCCCTTCTTCTCCGAGAGAGAGAGAGAGAGAGAGAGAGAGAGAGAGAGAAAGAGAGAGAGAGAGAGAGAGCGCGCACCGGCCTGGGACTCAGCATTGCAGTGACTTGCGGTCTCATCCCGGCCTGCGAGCTCTCAGTGTGTGTCTGGGTTTCCCACATCCGCCCGTCTGCCCGAGTGCCTATCTGGCATGTGGTTTCCTTTCCTTCGCTTCCCATTGATTTCATGGCTATGGCATTCGCTGCCGTGAACGTCATGGGCTCAGCAGAGTGTCAAGGTTGCGGGCACACAAGGAGGAGGTGCTGTGTCATCTGCCCCCCTCGTCTCTTCTGCCCAGCACTCACTGCTCCAGGCTGCTGTCTGTTTACTGGTGTGAAAGGTTGGTTCCCAGAGAGCTCGGGCTGCTTGCTGGCCTCAGGCCTGGCCCCCAGTGGGAGCTAAGTAAGTGTTGGCTTAAGGGTGATTCAATCAGTGACCTAATTGTGCCTTCGTGGAATGGACAGTCTGGTAGGGGCTGGCCATCTGCTTGTTTTTGTTTTTAAGTTTTACTTTTTTTTTGCTTGAAAGTCAGTATTACAGAGAGAGAGGGAGAGAGAGATCTTCCACTTGCTGGTTCACTCCACAGGTGGACACAATGGCCGGGGCTAAGCCAGGAGCTTCTTCTGCATCTCCCACACGTATGCCGGGATCCAGGACTGGGACCAGCTTGGGCCGTTTTCCCAGGCTATGACTAGGGAGCTGGATGGGAGGTGGAGCTGCCAGGACATAAACTGATGCCCATAGGAGATGCTGGCGTTGCAGATGGTAGCTGTAACTGTTGTACCATAACACTGGCCAGGTCTGGGGTTTAAAATATATACATTTAGTTCTTTATTTGAAAGGCAGAGAGAGAGAAAACAGAGAGATCTTCTATCCGCCGATTTACTCTCTAAACGCCTGTGACAGGCAGAGCTGGATGAGGCCAAAGCCAGGGACCCAACGGCTTAAACCTGCTGCTTCCCAGAGTCTGCACTGGCAGGAAGCTGGCATCAGAAGCCCAGGCTTTCCATTACAGATGTGGCATCCTAAGTGATGTCTTAACCCCGTGCCCAACACCTGCCCTTCTGTCCGCTTTGCTGGAGTTTTAACAAGTAAAGAAGGATGGTTTTCCGAGAGATTGGTGATTGTGGTTTTATTTTTAAGACTTATTTATTTTTAATAGAAGGTTATATATACAGAGAGGAGAGGAGAGACAGAAAGATCTTCCATCCACTGATTCATTTCCCAAGTGGCTGCAGTGGCCAGAGCTGAGCTGATCCAAAGCCAGGAGCTTCTTCACCCATGCGTATGCAGGGTCCCAAGGCTTTGGGCCATCCTCGACCGCTTTCCCAGGCCACAAGAAGGGAGCTGGATGGGAAGCAGGGCCGCCGGGATACAAACGGCACCCATATGGGATCTCAGCGCATGCAAGGCGAGGACCTTAGCCACTAGGCTACTGCACTGGTGTGTTTGAAAGAGTTACGCAGATAGGGACAGAAATGTTTGCTCTCTGTTGGTTCACCCTCCAGAGGATGCAACAGTGGGAGCTAAGCCAGGCTAAAGCCAGGAGCTTCTTGTGGGTCTCCCATCTGGGTGTGGGGGCCTAGGCACTTGGGCCATTTCCCACTGCTTCCCAGTCGCATTGGTGGGAGCAGCTGGGACACGACCTGGCACCCGTTTGGGATGCTGGCATGGCAGGTAGCAGCAGCTTTGCATGCTACACCACCACATTGGCCCCACGAAGGGGACTTTTGGAAGTCCCTCCTGCATTGCCCTTCCTCCTCCCGTGGCTTGGAGGACTACGGTAGCCATGGGGGCTGTGGGTGCGTAGAAGGCTTCACCAGACCCCTGCCTCTTCCTTCCTCTCCAGCTGCCTTTCTCGGAGACATTGCCCTGGATGAGGAGGACCTGTGGGCCTTCCAGACACAGCGGGCTGCAATTCTTACCCAGCGCTCGGCCCGCAGGGCATCCATCAGAGCTACAGGTACGTCTGAGGACAGACTGGCCCCACCACGTCCCAGAACTGGGTTCCAGACTTGCCGAAACAAGGGCCCTCTTTCTGTTCCCAGTGGGGCCCTCCCGGGACACAGGCCGTGAGCTTGAACCCGGCGCACAGGGCTGGTCCTCCCTTGGGGTGTCTCTTTCCCCTCCCTGGAGTTCAGAACCCACAGTATCGCTGCTGACACAGCTCACAAAGCACTCCCCAAAGTGTTACCCAACTCCTCACACCCCTTCCCCCACACACACCTCCACAAGGAGGCAGCAGGTGCAGGAGCCTACCAGAAGGAAAGTGGCTCGCTTAGTGTCCCATGGCTCAGCTGGTACCTGAGCTGCGGCAGGAACCTGGGCTGTTTCACTCCATTATCTGAGAAGCTTTGTCACCCCTCCCTCAGCAGCCAGGAGGACCCTCAATTTTGTCACTGCTCGGTGCAGGGCCACGGGCAGGGCTGTCATTGTCGGTGCTTGGCATGCTTGGGACCCGGTCCGTTCTGAGACTCTGCAAGTAGCTTAGCCATTGCCAAAGGGCATGATTCCTATGGAGGTCCACTCTGGCCATACCAGAGTGCCCTGGTGTGGGCACCCAAAGAGTAAAGGTCACGTTCCCCAGAAAGGGGCCTGGCATAGCCTGGCACCAAGTGAGGTTTACGTGGCTACAGCAGAGTTGAGGGGGCATGGTCCTGGTGTCTGTGACATGGAGACTCTGTGCTCCCCGGGTGTGAGAAGGGTTGTCTTCCCCGTCTCAGTTCACAGGCCCAGCACTGTGCTCTGCCCCAGTTACTGTCAGTCCTCATGAGCTGCAGGAGCTGGGAGGGCTTGGCGGAGTCCCTCTGGGTCCATGGAGCTGCGAGGTCCATGGACCCACACTGTGCTGGGTCCCTGAGCACGCTGCGTTTGTGCACGCCCAGCTTTCCTCCCTGCACCCTTAGGAGCTCGGAGTCATCGCGTTCTTGCCAGCCAAACTGAAGATCGTCTCACGCTGTGCGTGTTGCTGTCCACAGACGTCTTTTCTTTTGGGTTGCATTTTTTTTTTTTCTAAAGGTTTATTTTTGTTTGTAAAGCAGAATTGCAGAGAAAGAAGGGGAGACAGAGAGAGGACTCCTTTGTCTGCTGGCTTAGTCCCTACATGGCCACGATGGCCACACTGGTCTGGTCTGAACCTGGGAGCTGGGCACAGGGACCCAAGGATTTGAGCCATCCTCTGCTACTTTCCCAGGCACATTAGCAGGGAACTGGATCAGAAGTGGAGCAGCTGGGCCTCGAACCAGCACCCATATGGGATGCCAGCAGCACAGGCAGAGGCTTAATCTGATGTACCTAGCACTGGTCCCAACACACACTTTATTGAACAGGTGCTTGCTGTCTTGACATTAAACTCACAGCCAGCAACCATGTAGCACACAGAACACATCTATCTAACGTGTGTGCCCTCTATGCATCACACCACGGCTTCCTTGTCCTCGGGCACACTGGAAGGCCAGTCCAAACTGAATCCTCAACCAAAAGGAGAAAAAGAAAAAAAAAAATAAAAACAATGTCATTCCATGGTTCTCTCCAACACCTTCCTTTTGCCCTTCCAGGAAACACTTCCACCACCGCCTGCCCGAGCCCTAGTGGTCAGTCCCCGAGGGATACCCGTGGAAGATGGAGAGGCCGGGGTCGGGGTCGGGGCCGGAGCCGGGGCCGGCGAGCAGCCACCTCCAGACCCGAGCGGGTGTGGCCCGACGGGGTCATCCCCTTTGTCATTGGGGGCAACTTCACTGGTAGGCACGTGACTGGGGCGGGGGGAGGGAAGCGACAGGTCCAGGCTGTGCCAAGGGGCCTTACCTGGGCGGGGGTGGGGGAGGTTCTTCCTGGGCAGTCTGGTTTTGGGGAGGTAGGTGCAACGGGGTCCCTGTGGCAGACTGGCTTGGTTCCCTGCTCCGGCTAGGCAGCCAGCGGGCAGTGTTCCGGCAAGCCATGAGACACTGGGAAAAACACACCTGTGTCACCTTTCTGGAACGCACTGATGAAGACAGCTATATCGTGTTCACCTACCGGCCCTGCGGGTGAGCAGGGGACCCCCACACCCCAGCCCCGGGCACTGGACCCTTGCCCATGGGCCCCTCCTACATTCTTCTCTCTGGGCACCATTGCTGCTCACAGTTGGGTACCGACTTGGGACCACCTGTTTCCCCTCACACACCCTCATCTATCTCCCTCACTCTCCAGGTGACTCTGTCCCTCCCCCCTTGCCCAGTGACCCTCCTCCCCCAGCACACAGTCTGAGCACTTGGCCTCAAGCAGCCCTCCCCTCTGCCCCTCCACTCCTACCCCCCTGTCCATCACCACTGCCCCCCTGGCCCCTCAGCCTGGCCCGGCCCCTGAGTGGATGCACTCCCCCAGCTCGGGACCACCCCCCTGAGCTGGCCCCGCCCCCCAGGTGCTGCTCCTACGTGGGCCGCCGTGGCGGGGGCCCCCAGGCCATCTCCATCGGCAAGAACTGCGACAAGTTCGGCATCGTGGTCCACGAGCTGGGTCACGTCATTGGCTTCTGGCATGAGCACACGCGGCCCGATCGGGACCGCCACGTGTCCATCGTGAGGGAAAACATCCAGCCAGGTACGCAGCTGGGATTGGTGTGGGGCGGATGGGGGGAGCTGACCCTTTGGCCATATCCTGGGTCACCTCGATGTGACCGTCTCAGCTTTGTTGGGTAGCTGGGGCACTGCCCATGCCTTCTGCTTCCTCAGGGCCCTTCCTCAGACTCTGGCTGGGCTGGGATTCAGCTGCCCATCCCTCAAGGATGTTTTAGGTTTTAGCTGGATTCTTTGCTGCTGCCTGTCCACCTCCTAAGGTCCCCATTGCTCTCCCTGGCCCCCACTGCCTCCTCCTGGGCCTTCCCTCCAGCCAGTCCCCCTGCTCCTTGGCCATTGGACAGGACACCTGCTGAGAACCTCTCAGGCCCTTGGGTCTGGGAGCCACTCCACCCACCCACGTCCTCTCCTTGGCCTCTGCAGGTCAGGAGTACAACTTCCTGAAGATGGAGGTGCAGGAGGTGGAGTCCCTGGGGGAGACCTATGACTTTGATAGTATCATGCACTATGCCCGCAACACATTCTCCAGGTGAGCGCCAGGACCGGGATGGGGCGGGGCAGGGGCTGGGGGACAGCCCCCCGATCCTGCCTCCTGCCTTGCCTCACACTAGCCAGCCCTGTGAGGGGCAGAGGCGACTTAGACCCCAGACAGGGCATCCATGGGCGCCTCCTTCTTGGCTGGAGCAAGGTTCTCTACCTGCTGCTGTGCACACAGGAGGTACACCTGGGTGGTGCCCAGGAGCCCACATCTGCTACTCTGCTGTGTGGTCCAGGGGGTGCCTGGTGACCCCAAGCTGGGGCTCTGGCTGAGTATCTGTCTTCCTGGTCTTCCTCCTCCCTCTCTTTCTCCATCCTCTTCCTCCCCCTCCTCTTTTGTCTTCCTCTTCCATCTCCTCTTCCTCTCCTCCCCTCTCCTCCTCTCCCCTGCCATCCTCCTCCTGGAGCCACTCCTCCCGCCCCAAGGCAGTGCTGAGCTCATCATCTGCCTCCCCCCACCACACACACATTTACCCAGACCCCTTCCTTGCGGCTCCTGGCCCCTGCCGCATTCCGCCCAGCTGGGTGTGAGTCATAGGCCACGGGGAGGCCATGGCTGGCTGCTTCCCCCTGCTCTGCACCTCCCAGATGGAGGCACCAGCAGCAAGGGGCCAGGAACTCTCAAGGCTGTCCCCAGGGTTCGGGCGGCCACCGTGGAACCTGCCCTTTGGCCTTGTTCCAGATGCTGTCACAAGCAGGGCAGAGAGGTGGCCTTGGGGGCAGAGGAGGGAATGGGGATGGGGGGCAGGGGGAGGGATGGGGCTCCCCAGGCCTGTGTCTGACCTCCCCCTCCTGGGCTCCTGTGGCAGAGTTGCCACGGGGCACGCAGCGTGGCTGCCGGACAGCGGGCAGCATAATGACAGGGTGAGCCGGCTCCGCCCATTCTTGTCCTTCTACTGGTGAGCAGGAATGTCCGCTGGGCGGAGTCACGCCGTGTGGGGGAGTCCCCATGGACCCCCCACCTGCCCTCAGGCCCTGCCTCTCTCCCCCCCACACACACACTGTATCCCTTCCCCCACCAGGGGTATCTTCCTGGATACCATCGTGCCCAAGTACGAGGTGAATGGGGTGAAGCCACCCATCGGCCAGAGGACCCGGCTCAGCAAGGGGGACATCGCGCAGGCCCGCAAGCTCTACAAGTGCCCAGGTCCGCACGCGAGGCAAGGGACGGGGGAGGGGAGGAGTGGCAGAGACTGCGGTGTGTGTGGCAGGAGTGGACGAGCAGCCTCAGGGTCCAAGTGGGGCTGCTCTGAGTGTAGGGAGAGGCTGGCACCATCCCCTCTGCATGGGATGCTGGGGAGCGGAGTCCAGGGGCAGCAGGGAAGGGGCCAGGGCCCATCCCAGGGACTTGATGTTGATGCTGGAAGTCTGGTTGCCTTGACCACAGGGCATCCGGCTTCCCTGTGAGCATCAGGCCAGGGTGGGCAGGTAGGAGGGTACATGAAGGGTGGCCGGCCCCTCTCTTTGCTCAGCTCTGGGGTGGGTGAACCGGTCAGGGAGAGGGTGCCTGCGTGCAGCTGCCCCAGCCGCTTCCTCTTCCTTGACAGCCTGCGGAGAGACCCTGCAGGACAGCACGGGTAACTTCTCCTCTCCTGAGTACCCCAACGGCTACTCGGCCCACATGCACTGCATCTGGCGCATCTCGGTCACGCCGGGCGAGAAGGTAACTGCGGCCTGGAGACTTACAGAGAGAGAAGGAGAGACAGAGAGAAGGTCTTCCAATCATTGGGTTACTCCCCAAATGGCCACCCACAACTGCCGGAGCTGGGCTGGTCTGGAGCCTGGAGCCTGGAGCCAGGAGCCAGGAGCTTCTTCCCAGGTCTCCCACGTGGGTACAGATTCCCAAGGAATTGAACCATCCTCTGCTGTTTTCCAGGCTGTAAGCAGAGAGCTGGATGGGAAGTGGAGCATCTGGGACCTGAACCCATGTGGGATGCTGGCGTTGTGGGTAGAGGTTTAACCTACTATGCCATAGTGCCTCCCCCCCTTCCCCGCTCCCCCCCATCCCCTGACTTTGTTTTACGGATCAGGAAGCTGAAGCTAGTTTACTTGCTGAAGGTTAACAAGACCTGAAGCAGTTTTGGAATTTTCCCTGGACTTGGGGCCTGGCTCAACCTTGTGTATGCTGGTCCCCAAGCACCTGTGGGTGAGCTGCTAAGCCCCAGCTCTAGGCTCTCTCATCTGACTCCTCCAGGCTTTAGCCACAGGGTCCCCAAGGGCCTTTCAGCTTGTGCGTGCCTCCTGAACAGCCCCAGCTCCCACTTAACAGTCACCCGGCCAGGATGGTCTCAGCTTCCAGCTTCCCTGTCACCTTGGCGATTCAGCCACTAATTCTCACATTTGCAAACCAGGAAAGCGGGTCAGAGCCGGCCCCATCTTCGTTGGTCTGGCTTGCATAGGGCTCTTCCAGGAAGAGTGGCTTGTGCAGGCCAGCAGGGTGTACACATGTGAGATCTTTGTTGGGTTACCCAGGCCATGGGTTGTGTTGTCCAACCCCAGCTCTGCATGCGGAGTCTCGCCATGCAAGCAGCTGGTCATGCCCTTGACCTCTGCCTTGGGTTCCTCGGCTGAGCCCAGCCTGGCCACGTGTTTCTTTGCCAGCAGTCTGCTTAGTCAAGGACTGACGCTCTCTTTGACGGCTTGGGATTCATTCCGTGCACTGACACCTCACATGAGTGCGCACACACGCACACGTACACGCCCCATTGGACGAGTGGGAACACTTTAGTGCTGAATTCTCAAGATTACACCCGCTGACCACATCTGCAAGCTATTTGTCCTCTGATGTCACTGATGAGCCAAGGGACAGATGCCAATTCAAGGAAGTGTTTGGGGAGCTGCCTCCTCCTCCTCCTCCTGTTCCGGGGGCTTCCATTGCCTCTCCAAAGGCGGCTCCTTCATGTGGATGGTGATTTGAAGGTCATTGTTGGGCAGATTTTTGGAGTTCAGTGATCCGGTCATCTATTGCTCCCCTGTTGGCATTTCACCATCTTCTCCCCCAAAGCGAGCCCATCCCTTGCCTGGGCTTCTTCTTGTTCCAGTCTCTTTTCCCGACGTCAGTCTTGTTTGCTCTTTCTAGCCAGCCAAGCCCTGACTTCCTTCATCCCTTGCCCAGGAGTCCCCGCGGCTCCAGCTGTGTAGTGTAACTCACGGGTAGTACTAATAGTAGTGAGCAACCACTCTGTTTTTAAAAGATTTATTTATTTGAAAGGCAGAGATACTGAGAGAGAGAGAGAGATCCTTCATCTGCTGTTCAATCCTCAGATGGCCACGATTTGGGCCAAGGTTGGGCCAAGGTCACAGCTAAGAGTCTGAAGCTTCAGCCAGGTCTCCTGCGTGAGTGTAGGGACCCAAGCCTTTGGCCCGTCCCCCACTGCTTTCCCAGGTGCCAGCTCTAGGGAGTAGGATCAGAAGTGGAGCAGCCAGGACTGAGACTGGGATGCCGACATCAAAGGTAGCAGCTTAACCCGTTATTGCTGTGACACGGGCCTCGTGCATCACGTTCTTTATGCGTGTTACACCTTCTTGTTTGGTTGATTTTTATTTGTTTGTTTTTGTTTGAAAGGCAGTATTACAGAGAGAGAGAGAGATCTGATTCACTCCCCAAATGGCTGCATTGGCCAGAGCTGGACTGGTCTGAAGTCAGAGGCCAGAAGCTTCTTCTGGGTCTCTCTCATGGGTGCAGGGACCCAAGCACTTGGGCCATCTTCCACTGCCTTGCCATTATAAGGAAGTTAGATTGGAAGTGGAGCAGCTGGGATTCAAACCTGTGCCTGTATGGGATGCTGGCATGACAGATGGAGGCTCAGCTGGCTATGCTACGGCTCCGACTCCCTGTTAAGTTTTTAATGAATTTCAGAGGAAGAGGGACAGGTGATGGTTCCCATCTGTTGGTTCACTCCCCAAATGCTGGAATCATCAGAAGCTGGACGGGGATTGAAGCCAGGAGCTGGCGATGTCGTCCAGGTCTCCCCTGTGGGCAACAGCAGCCCTACTGCTTGACCCATCACTGTGGCTTCCCGGGGTCTGCACTGCCAGGAAGCTGAGTCAGCACTGGAGCTGGGAATTAAACCCAGGCACTCTGCTGTCACTCAGATGTGGGGTATGACCCGTGTCTTTTTTTTTTTTTTTTTTAAGATTTGTTTATTGAGCCTTACACAATGGCTCCGTGGCTAAATCCTCACTTTGCAAGTGCCAGAATGTCATATGGCACTGGTTAGTGTCCCAGATGCTCCACTTCCCATCCAGCTCCCTACTTGTGGCCTGGGAAAGCAGTCAAGGACGGCTCAAAGCCTGGGGACCCTGCACCCGTGTGGGAGGTCCAGAGGAAGCTCCTGGCTCTGGATCAGTTCAGCTCTGGTCACTTGCGGAGTGAACCAGTGGATGGAAGATCTTTCTCTCTGTTCACTATAAATCTGCCTTTCCAATAAAATAAATAAATGTTTAAAAATAAAAGATTTATTTATTATTTACTTGAAAGGCAGAGCAACAGAGGAGATGGAAAGGCCAAAATAATTGATCAGCTGGTTCACATTGCAGTAGGCTGGGCTGATCCAACTGAACCCACTACTCTCCAGGTCTTCCACATAGGTGTCAGGGACTCAGAACACTTGCGCCACCTCCCGCTGCCCCTCCCAGGTGCATTAGCAGGGCGCCGGATAGAAATTGGCAGAGTCAGGGCTCAAACTAGCACTCCGTAATGGGACGTCAGTGTTGTAAGCTGTGGCTTACCTCACTGACACCAGCTCCGTGGCCAGTCTCTTCAATACCAGTTTAAGCTCCCCATTCCTCTGCCTTTCTTGGTGTATTAGCAGGTAGCTGAATTGTAAGCGGAGCAGCTGGGACTGGAAGTGGAATCCTATGGGATGCTGGCACTGCAGACGGCATATCTGGTATGCCTCAGTGGCCAGCCCCGGCCACATACTTCTGGAAGTCCCTTTGTATGGGGCTTCCAGAATCACTTACCATTCAGAGAAAGCACTTTAGTTGAGCGACAACCTCTCCAGCAAGCCTGTGGGCCTGGCAACTGGGACAGAGATGCAACTGGTAGTTCAAGGAGCATGGGGTCAGGTGGCTCTTTTCTTTTCTTTTTTCTTTTTTCTTTTTTTTTTTTTTTTTTTTATGGTCCTGTCTGGAGCTCCAGGGAGAGAAATAGGGTAGGGATTAACATTCCAGATGAATCAGCACCAGGCTGTAAAAAGGCATAAAGACCAGGCCTGACCCTGGGTGAAACAGTCAGTTTGTAAGGGACCCAAGGTTCGTGCTGCGGACACATTAACACAGTAGGGGCCCGAGTCACTGCTTGATAATGGCTATGGTCTTTGTGAGTCAGCGGCTAAGCGCCGGGCACAGTAGAAGGTGTCCTGCACATGATTCTGTTATCCCCGCAACTCACACTTTGACCTGTTACCCCTGCTGGGAGATGGGGGAACCCCAGCTGGCAAGGTGATATTTCAGATGAAGCTTCTGCTTGTAGTGCCAGGATTCCGTGTGGGCGTTGGTTCGAGTCTCAGCTGCTCTGCCTCCAATCCAGCTCCCTGCTTGTGGCCTGGGAAAGCAGTGGAGGGTGGCTCAAAGCCTGGGGACCTTGCGCCTGCATGGGAGATCTAGAAGAGGCTTCTTACTTTGACTTGGCCTAGCACCAGTTCTTTGAGATCCTTTGAAGCAATGAACCAGATAGAAGACCTCCTTTTCCTTCACTGTTTGTGTAATTCTGCTTTGCAGGTAAATAAGTCTTTAAAAAAACAATGGTGTAGGAAGCAGGATTCAGGTGCTGGAGTGGATCTGCTCCAGTTCCCGTGGAAGCGCCGTTTGCCTCTAGGCTACAGACTCCAAAGTCTGACCTTTCAGGGAGGACTTGTCATGTACCTGCCCTGACGCTGGACTTTGGCATCCGTTCTAGCAGCCAGGAGCTTGTTTTTCTCTTGCCTGCCAGTTCTCGGCTCATCATCACAAACACCCCTTGTTGATAGGAAAATCTTAGACAAACATACATGGTGCTTCCAGGGCTGTGGTGTAGTGGGTCAAGAAAGCCTATGACTTTGCAAGCACCTGCCTCCCGTATGGGTGTTGGTTGGTGTCCCGGATGCTCCACTTCCCATCCGGCTCCCTGCTTAACCACCTGGGAAAGAGGCGGAAGATTGCCCAAGTCATTGGGACCCTGTACTCAGGTGGGAGACCCAGGGCAAGCTCCTGGCTTCAGACTGGCCCAGCTCCAGCTGTTGCTGACTATTTCGGGAGAGAGCCAGCAATGGGAGTGCTCTCCCTTTGTGAGCAACGCTGCCTTTCAAGTAAATAAACATTTGAGGACATCCCCTTCCCCCCCAAGCCTGCTCTCGCATCATGGGCAGCCGATGAAAAGCCAAGGCATGGAGCCCCAGCGAGGAGGGTGTCACAAGAAGACCTGGTCAGCTGGCCAAAGCTTGCTCAGCAGCCAGAGATAAGAAGTACGGCTGTTTTCCCAGCCGCCGGCGTCCACACTCGCGCTCGTCCCGGCTTTGTCGTGTCCTCCGTGTTTTCCAAGCACCAACCTACGTCCTCCCTGCTACTGAATCCTTGCCGTGCAAGCCGTCAGGGGGCTCGGGGAGCTGTTTGTCTTCAGCATGGTCCTTGGGCAGTGGCCATCGCAGAGCAGGGGCAGAGAATCGAAGCTGTTTTTTTTTGTGTGTGTGTGTTTGTTTGCTTGTTTTTAAGATTTATTTATTTTTATTTGAAAGAGTTAGAGAGAGGAAAGACAAGGATTGAGATCTTGCATCTGCTGATTTACTCCCCAGATAGCCAGAGCTGGGCCAGTTAGAAGCCAGAAGCCAGGAGCTTCTTCTCGGTCTCCCATGCGGGTGCAGGGGCCTGAGGACTTGAGCCATCCTCTGCTGCTTTCCCAGGTCAAAAGCAGAGAACTGGATGGGAACTGGAGCAGCCAGAACATGAACTGGCACCCATTACGGAATGCCAGCGCTGTTGGTAGAGGCTTAACTTGCTCTGTCATGGTGCTGGTAAGGGTGTAACTTTCATCAAAGTGCTTGCATTTGCCTCTCAGCCGTACCAACTGCTGAGTGTGTGATCTCGGGGGAAACCACTTGACCTCTCCCTTCCTTTATTTCCCCATCTGTAGAATGGGCTCAGTGGTCACAGTTCCTCTATGGAGTTCCTAGGAAGGTGGGGCAGTTACAAAGATATTCTTGGAGTGCTAGCCGACCTGTGTCAGAAAGGCAACTAGTCCCTTTGGTTTCGACCCATTTGAAGAGGGCATCCTCCAGGGAGCTTCCCCAGCCCCCACCCCCGTCATGGCTTCCACGTCCACCCCGGGATTGCAGTGTGAACTGGTCATGTCTGAGCACTTGTGTATGCACACTCAACTTCAGTGGGAACTGCGTGTGGCTGAGTGCTTCCTGTGGGAGTTTAGTGAGATGGGAGGCAGTTAGGACCTTCTAAGAGATGTGGGTGGGGAGGAGACTGGGCAGGCCCGATTGGACCATTGTCTCTCCAAGAATCTCCACAGCCCTCTAGCTTCCCAGTGGAGCTTTGAGTAGCTTCAACTTTTTTTTTTAAGACAGGCCCGCCAAGACCCAAGACGGCCACCAACCCACAGGCCTGGAGTCACCGGCCAGGAAGTGGGAGTGTGGGCCAGGGTTTTCTTTGGCAGCGGCAATGCCCCTGCCACCCAGTCACACAGCTGTGTCCACATGGCAGTGGTCGATCCGACTCTTAATTAGCCACCTCTGGTCCCAATATAGCCTGTGCCTGGCCTCACAGGAAGATGGCCACCTTTATGCCCCTCTTTCAATGTGGGGACTCTGCTTCTTCTGGCCCCCCTCTCGAGGTCTGGGATGGGCCCGTCGGGGCTCTGCCAGCCGGGCGTGGCTGCTTCTGCAGAGAGCCTGAGCTTGTCTCCCCAGGACAGGGCTCCCAAGCAGAGGGCAAGGGCCTGCCACTTGGCCCGGCCCTGAGCAGCATGGTGCTGGGCAGGCCCAGGAGTGCCATGTGGGGCTGGAGGAGGCTGTGAGCTTAGTAGCCCAAGCTCCTTCCCTTGGCTTTCTGCAAATCTTTTCTTCCTCCAGCAGCTGCTTTGAGCTTTTTAAGACAGATCGTTTTAAATTTATTCCTTTCTGAAACAGATAGGCATGTGCGTATGTATTTTTATATATAAACCCGTCCCCTGGTTTTCTCCCTAAATACTTGGAACAGCTAGAACTGGACCAGCCTAAAGCCAGCAGCTGGGGATTCGGTCTGCACCTCCTACGTGGTGGGTGGCAAAGCCCCAAGTCCTCTGGCTGTCACCTGCTCGCAGCACCCCTCGATCTACAGGGTGGCGTATACTAACGCAGGGAACTGGCATGGGGAGTGAAGACGGGACTTGAGCCCGGCTCTCCGGCTCTCCGATACAGGATGTGGACCTAGTTAACCACCATCCCCAGTGCCTCTTTGATAAGACGCTTTTGTTGTCGGAAAGATGTAAAAACGGCAAGTGCGTGCCTAAAATTTCGGAACCCTTTAGAAACGCATCACAACGTCAGTCTCTCTCCTTCATCCTCCCTGGAGGTGGCGGAGCACTGGGGACGCCAGTGTGTCCTTCCAGCTCCTTCTGGGCGTAATAAGCAGTGTCTTTGTATCTGTGTGTGGGCATGTGTGCATCCAGAAGGGATCCTGGTCCTCCAGTTAGGGTCACGTGCAGCTTGCTTTGCACTTGACCTTGAATATGGTCATCGGTCACACCAGCCTGTGCTGCTGAACAGGAAGCACACCCTGCTTCCTGTTCATGGCCGCTGAGCATTTCATGATCTCTGTTCTCATTCATTGAGTTCCCGCGGCAGGTCTCTGGATGGATGTTTCTGTGTCTGTAGATTCCTGTTTACTAACCACCCACTGGGTATTGGCAGGGGAGGCCAGGGACGGACAGGCAGCAATAGACACCCGAGTCACTAGGTACTAGGTCAGAGGTGGACACGTTGTGGGAAGGACAGTGGGGCTGGGGTAGGACTGGTCATTCCTATGGGTGGGCAAGCAGGTGTGTGTGGGAACAGCACCTGGCAGGAAGGAAGGGGCCCATTAGGTGGGGAGCCAGGAAGAGCTGCCAGGCCCTGAGACTGGAACAGGCTCAGCGTGGAAGGTCCCTGTAGGGTCAAGTGGGGCTGAACCGTGGGTTTCACCAAAGGTGCAGTTTTCACATGAGTGCTGGAGAGGGGAGGTGACGTGTCAAGAAGTACTGAAAAGGTGGGCCAGACTTGCTGGGCCACATGACATGCCCCCTCCCCACCCCCCGCTGCCTGGGACCCCTCACTGTTGCCACGGTGAGCTTGTTCGGTCCTTTGCTAGGAGCTAAGAGCGCAGGGAGTTGAGCCACGAGAGCCCAGCTCCCTGGGAAGAGCTGGGACAGGTTTTCAACTTCTGTATTGCAAAACACCAGGTCTTGCAGCAACGCTGATAACTTTGAGTGGGGACAAAGAAGAATAGTAAGAGTGGTGTATTTCTAAAAGTGTGATCTTGCCAGACCTAAGTGCGGGTCAGGTTCCTGAATAAATACAAGAGAAGCAGCACAGACTGAACTGGGGGTGATGGGGAGGTCATGGATAGGAGAGGCCTGGAAGTAGATCCAGGTGGATGTGAGGAGTCCTTGAACATTTCCGTACAGGTGGCGCTTGAGTGGGACCAGCAGCCGGAATCCCCTCTGCTTGGCCAGTCACGGCTTTGACCTGGTTACAGACAGCAGTTACCAGCACCTGCCTGGGGGCCTTTTCTTTTTAAAATCTATTTGAGGGGTTGGTACTGGGGCATAGTAGGACAAGCCTCTACCCTGTGATGCCAGCATGCTCTAAGGGTGCCAGTTCAAGTCCATGTAGCGAACCAGGGGGAGGCTGCTGGCTCCTGGCTTTGGTTCAGCTCTACTCCAGCCATTGTGGCCATTTGGAAAGTGAGCCAGGGATGGAAGACACACTCTCACTCTGTGTGTGTGTGTGTGTGTGTGTGTGTGTGTGTGTGTGTGTGTGTGTGTGTGTGTGTGTGTGTGACTCTGCCTTTCAAATAAAAATAGAGAAGTCCATATGGGATCCTGGTGCATTCAAGGCGAGGACTCTAGCTGCTAGGCTACCACTGCGCTGAGCCCAGAGTTTATATTTTTTAAGTTGCCGTGATGCAAGCTGCGGCTGGATCTTCAGTGCAAGGCAGGAGCTCCTGGCTTGGCCCCCCTGGTCTCAATTTTGTGATGAGAGCCCTGTGAGCCTAAAAGCTACCGGGCGACCATTCCTCCCTACCTGTGCAGCCCACCTGCAGTAGGCACGCCCCTGGCACTGGGGATCAGATGTGGCACCATTGGTGTAACCCCCTTGCTCCCTGTCCCCCCAGATTATCCTGAACTTCACGTCCATGGACCTGTACCGCAGCCGTCTGTGTTGGTATGATTACGTGGAGGTGCGCGATGGTTTCTGGAGGAAGGCACCTCTTCGAGGTAAACAAGTTCCCTCTAGATGCTTCCACGCCTTCTCCCCTTCAGCCCTCCTTCTCCCTCTTCCTCACTGCTTTACCTCCCCCTTCCCTCTCCTCTTCCTTCCTCTCCCCTCCTCCTCCCTCCATCTTCCTCTTCCTACCCCTCCCCAAACCAGCACCTAACCAGGTTGTCCCCCGAGGAGCCCTGATGTCCACAGCTTAGACCCAGCTGGCTTCACCCACATACTCCCTGTGTGACTCAGGGTAAAAGTGCTGTGTCCAGTTCTCCATCCAGATGTTCAGGGTCTTGCTCAGAGGGTGGTAGTCACTGGGCTGCAACGGGGAAGCCATAGCAGGGCCCTTCCTGCTCCAGCTGCAGGCTGTTCTGAGCACCCTGAAACCCTCTCCTCCCCCCCGCGCCCCCTCTTCCCCCCACACACGGGTGCTTTCCGAGGCTCCCGGTGAACGGAGCAACCTGGCTCCAAAGAAGTTTGTTTCAGTATGCCCCGGTTGGGCTGGGGGTCCTTGGACCTTGCTTGTTCCCCCCACCTTTGCCCTGTGTGCGTTGTCTGAGTGGGCCAGCGGGAGGGGATGTTAAGTGGGGCAGCTCCACGGAGCAGATGGTGCTGTAATCAACCGGGTGGCCCGAGGGCTCCGCATCCCAGCGTCTCAGATGTAGCAGAGCCAAAAACGTAGGCTTCTTTCAGTTCACCCAAGTTTGAAACTCTGGTTTAAGTTTTGTAATCGCATGCATGTATTTCCCATGACCCTTCTGACCCCCACCCCCTGCCCCAGACACACACACACACACACACACACACACACACACACACACACACACACAGAGTTCCTCAACTCTTTCACCTTAGTCACCCCAGCAGCTGTCATTGCGACACTCCTTCCTGCCGACGTGTTAGGGCTCTCCCAGATCCCGGCAGCTGCCTTTTCCTTCAACTTGCATTCCTGGGCTGGCAGCCTCTGTCCCTGTGGGAGGCTGGGAAACACCCAGTCTTGTTGGCAGTGCAGCACACCCTTCGCTCCCGAGTCGATCCGTGCCGCCATTGTCTCCACGCATGGCCAGCCTGGCCTGCTGGCCGGGCTCCTGGCCGGGGTTTCTGTGCACGGGTGGGACTGTTCTAGAACCCCAGGCCCCGAGTTCTGGGATTTAGTCGGGGCATGGGGAGCATTCTGCTCGTCTTCAGGCCTGTGGAAGGCTGCCTCGCTGTGGCATGCAGAGGAGACTGTGCTGGGTTTTGGCTTCCTCTTTTTACATGGGAGAACTGATGGGAACCTGGAGAACCTGGCAGAGGTGTGGAGTGGCTGGGTGGGGCATCAGAACACGGCTTACAAGGGGAGCGTGGACAGTCGCCCCTTGTGGAAAGCCATCTGTATCCCCTCTGGCTGCCTGAAGCTAAGCTGCCCTGGCATGTGCAGGGTGGAAGCCTCCTAGAGGGCTGGGGCGGCAGGGCTCCTGGCATTCTCTCCTCTCCTCCTCCATTGCACAGGTCGGTTCTGCGGGGGCAAGCTCCCCGAGCCCATCGTGTCCACAGACAGCCGCCTTTGGGTGGAATTCCGCAGCAGCAGTAACTGGGTTGGAAAGGGCTTCTTCGCAGTGTATGAAGGTAGGGAGAAGAGGACAGGGGTGGTGGGGAGAGGAGAGGAAGCAGACGGGGACCCCCCCTCCAGCAACCTGGAACCCAAGGGGCAAGGTTGTGGGCCTCTAGGAAGGAAATGGAATGGCAGGGTTAACCGGGGCTAGAAGCTGTGGGTACTGACTAAGCCTGGGGGCCGTGGGTACTGATAGTAAGACTGAGTGCTGTGGGTACTAAGGCTGGGTGCTGTGTGTACTAAGGCTGGGTGCTGTGGGTACTGACTAATGCTGGGTGCCATGGTACTAATGCTGGTGCCATGGGACTGAGGCTGGGTGCTGTGGGTACTAATGCTGGGTGCCATGGGACTGAGGCTGGGTACTGTGATGCTGATTAACACTGGGGGCTATCGATATTGACTGGGTGTCATGGTACTGAGGCTGGGTGCTGTGGTGCTAAGGCTGGGTTCTATGGGTATGTCTGGGCCTGGGTGCCAAGGGACTGAGGCTGGGTGCTGTGGTACTAATGCTGGGTTCTATGGGTACTGTCTGGGCCTGGGTGCCCTGGTACTAGGAAGCTGAAGGAGAAGTGGGAGGGTCTTCCAGCAGGATAGAACATATTGCTAAGTCCCCCTCCTGTGTCCCCAAAGCCATCTGCGGGGGAGACGTGAAGAAGGACAATGGCCACATCCAGTCGCCCAATTACCCAGATGACTACCGGCCCAGCAAGGTCTGCATCTGGAGGATCCAGGTGTCCGAGGGCTTCCACGTGGGCCTCACGTTCCAGTCCTTTGAGGTAGGTCGGGGCACACAGAGAGGGGCGAGGGCTGCAGCCGCCCCACCCCCACCCGCAGCCAGCTGATCATGCCCTTGTGATGGATCCCCCCAGATCGAGCGCCACGACAGCTGTGCTTACGACTACCTGGAGGTGCGTGACGGGCACAGCGAGAGCAGCAACCTCATCGGGCGCTACTGCGGCTACGAGAAGCCGGATGACATCAAGAGCACGTCCAGCCGGCTCTGGCTCAAGTTCGTCTCCGACGGCTCCATCAACAAAGCTGGATTTGCTGTCAACTTCTTCAAAGGTACCCGCTCCCCTACTTCGTCTGCCCCCCCCCCCCCGCCCAGCCTGGGTGCCCAGAGGCAGGGAGCTGGGGTCCACGGTGCGGCTTCTAGCGCTCTTGGGAAGCTTCGAGGTGACAGTGATGCTTGGAGGCGCATCACCACAGTGGTGGCTCCCCGCAACCCTGGAAAGCAGACACACAGAGCCTGCGGGTTTCTGAACTTGGCCTCCCTGGCAAGAGGCGGGGAAAAAAGAGCCTAGGGTCCTAGGCTGGGGTCTCTGCGACACCCTCTCCCGCCTTCGCTCTGCAGAGGTGGACGAGTGCTCTCGGCCCAACCGCGGGGGCTGCGAGCAGCGATGCCTCAACACCCTGGGCAGCTACAAGTGCAGTTGTGACCCCGGCTATGAGCTGGCCCCGGACAAGCGCCGCTGTGAAGGTGAGTGCCCCATCTGCCCACCCCACCCTCACCGGAGTGCCCTGGCACAGCCCCATCCTGGGGGTCCGCCAGTCCTGCCTGCCCTCCTCCCAGGTCCTGGATAGGAAACACCAGGATGCATTCAAGCAAGGTGTTCTGCATGCTGGCTTGGGAGTGGGTTGTTTTTTGTTTGTTTGTTTGTTTTCATCCTGTTTGTTTTGGCTAAATACTGACCTTGGCCTGCCGAGTGATATCTGATCCTTAAGGAAACTACTGCGTGCAGAGCTGGCACATACGTGTGTGTGTGTGTGTGTGTGTGTGTGTGTGTGTGTGTGAGTGATACAAGCCCTAGACCATCTCCTCCCTGCTTTCCCGACCCAGCCCAGCCCTGTGGTGGGGACCCCCTCGTACATGATGCTACCCCCCCCCTTATGTCCCAGCTGCCTGTGGTGGATTCCTCACCAAGCTGAACGGCTCCATCACCAGCCCCGGCTGGCCCAAGGAATACCCACCGAACAAAAACTGCATCTGGCAGCTGGTGGCACCCACCCAGTACCGCATCTCCCTGCAGTTCGACTTCTTTGAGACCGAGGGCAATGATGTAAGTGTCACCCCCGCTTCTGTTGGGGGGTGGGCTGAAAGGGGCAGGAGTGGAGTGAGAGCCCAGCTCCGTGGCTGCCTCCTGTCTTGTGGAGGTTGCACTTGTTTCCCATCACAATGGGATTCTGCACATCAGGAGTATGGGCCTAGGCAGGTGTACCCAAGTCAAGGAGGCCTTTGTGTGTGGCTGGTGCGAATGAAGGTCAGGGTCAGGGCCAACCTGTGGCATGGTGCTTGTGCAGGTGGGCACAGCAGGATCTGATGAGGGGGCAGCAGGACACGAGAGAGGCCAAAACACCCATGGCCCAGGGAACTTCCCCTAGACTGTGAATCGTCAGGAAGGGTGGTGGATTGGCTTCCTGGAGGAGGCAGCCAGCCTGGAGCTGGGTTCTTCTGGCAGGTGTGCAAGTACGACTTCGTGGAGGTACGCAGCGGCCTCACAGCTGACTCCAAGCTGCATGGCAAGTTCTGTGGCTCCGAGAAGCCCGAGGTCATCACCTCGCAGTACAACAACATGCGTGTGGAGTTCAAGTCCGACAACACTGTGTCCAAGAAGGGCTTCAAGGCCCACTTCTTCTCAGGTACCACCCAGCTCGCTCACTGCTCCTAGCCCTGGCTGGCCTGGGGAGCTTGCACCTGCTCTGCTCCTCCCCACACTTCCCCGGAAGGTCCACTTAGTGAAGAGGGGGAGGGTGTGGTGGCTCTCAGGAGCTCAAGGCAAGGCCCAAGGGGGCAGACAGGGAACAGCCAAGTTCAAGTTGGCTTTGGCCAGGAAGCAGAGGGAGGATGGAGAAGAGGAGGGTGTGGGATGGGGGAGATTTTTCTGGCCCTGGCAGTGCACCTGCTAGGCTGCGGCCTCATCAGCAGGAGACTCTGGTAGCCTCCCGTGCCACTTCTACGCTCCTCCTTAGCCAGGGCTGGGGTGCCCAGGAGCCCACCAGCTGGGAGCAGCCCCCTGCTTATGGGGACGGTGAGGGGTGTGGGGGTTTCAGTGGAAATTGCAGTCTCCAAACCAGACTCTTTCTCAGGAGTTTTTTCTCTCGTGTGGTGAATCCCTTGTGCTTGGCAGTAAGGCCCCCATGGGATGGGGGTGTCCTCAGAGACCGTGGAACTCTTGGAGTGGGACTGGGGGAAAGCAGAAGGCTCTAGGGCTAGCTGGCTGGAGCAGGTGGTTTTGTGGCTGAGTGGCCCAGGGGATCCTCAGCCCCAGCCCCAAACCTGCTCCGTGGGTCCGGGAAAGAAGCAAGAAGCCATGATTGCATTTGTCCACACTGGCTCCCTTCTCCCCCTCCTCGCCCAGGGTCCTGCATCCTAGAGTCCCCTAGGTGGCTGCTCTGTACCCCTGCCTGCCCCACCTGGATGCCATGCACCTGGTCCCTTGCTTGGCACTGCCAGCCACCCTGCTCTGCTTCAAGTGCCCTGTTGAGCTTGTGACTCAAAGCCCCCCACCCCACTGCTTGCTGAGCCCCTCCCTTTGGCAATGCCAGCCCCTTCCTTCCCTGTGCCCACCTGGAGGGCGGGGAGCTCCTCTGAGGTGCTCATGGGAGGGCGTCTACTGCCTCCAGAGGAGGGGACCATTACCTGCTTACTCTTTGTCTCTTTCCTGCCCTTCTGTTGCTCCAGTCTTGGTGTCCTGGTAGGGGGTGGGCTAAGGGCGGGGGGAGCTGACCCATAACCTTTGTCAGGCCTGCAGTTACTGCCCTGCCCCTCCCATACCAGACACTGCCACTTGGCCCTCAGGCCTGCACAGATATGCATACGTGCAAATGTGTACACACACACACATACGGGTGTGCACACATGTCACCCTGTTGTGTGAGAAGCCTGTCCAGGCCCCCTCGCCGCCGGGCATCAAGCACAGCCCCTCGGGGCTGTGGGGGCTTCTGGTGGTGGCCCCCCCAGGAGGGGGCCATCTGGGACACCCATCGAGGAGACCCTAAGGCTTGAAGGAGAAGAGCGAACTGGAGACCTCCCGTGAGACCCCCAGCCACCCTCCAGGGCAGGTGGGCACTGTAGGGTGAGTGCCAACTCCTTGTCCAGGCCTGTGCCCGCCTCCCTCCACCCCCTGTCTCTGCCCCTTCCTCAGAGCTGCTCCCCAGCTCCGAGGGTGAAGATACCCACTGCTGTCAACCTGTGCCAGAGCCCCCAGCGTCTGCCCCCCACCCTGCTCTGCCTCACTCGTGCTCAGCCGAGGACACACCTACGCAGGCGGTCCTCTCTGAGCGTCCGTCTCGCCCTGCCACATGCCAGACACACTTCTTAAGGTGTTAGGGTTTGCAAGACGCAGGGAGAGGTGGGAACGGAAACACATCCTGGAAGTCTGTGAGCTGGACGTTCCCCTCCCCAGAGCCAGGGAAGAGAGCAGTCCTCTTCACCTTGAGCCCGTACGGGTCCCTAGGGGTCTGGCCCAGCTGAGCATGCTATGGAAAAGCAGGGACTTCTGGGAACTTGATGCTCCCAGCCCTGTCCCAGGTGGGAGACCCTTGTCCCTGGCCAGGTGGATGCCAGCAGGTGGCTTTTTATACCCCTGGCATTCATCTCTGAAATTCTGAGTAACCGCTGGGCTCTGGCACCCTTCTCTGAATGCCTGCCCCTCTAGGCCAAGAACGAGATCAGTCCCCCAGGAGCTAACACACAGAGCCTAGGATGTGCGGCTGAGGGTCCCACGTGTCTGACCACGTGTTTGCCTGTGTGTCAGCACTCAGGTGTGTGTGTGAGTGTGCGCGTGTCTCCCAGCTCTGAGCAGTCGGCTGATGGGCTTGTGCATTCTTGCTTGTGTGTGTATGCATTCTTACGTGCGTGTTTTTGTCCTTAAGTGGCTGCTGCGTGCATACCCACACGTATCCGGCATGTGTGTGTGTGTGTGTGTGCACGTGTGGGTGGGGCCTGCAAGCCCCATGGCTGTGTGTGTGAACAGTCTTGGTAGGCTCCCGTGTGACGCGTGTGTCCTGCGTCTATGTGTGTGTGTCTGCGTGTGCATTTGCTCCGTGGTTACATGTCTATGGATGTGTCCTCACACGTACACGGAGGTTTTTTGGAAACTTAGTGGAAAGTGGATCTTCTGCAAAAAAAAAAAAAAAAACCCACAAAACACAGGCCTATCCACTTGCACTGACTTCACCAGGGCGCCCCCATGTGAGAGCGGGTGCTGGGTGATACATGCGTTGGTGGCTGAGTCTGAGTGTGTGCCCTGGCTACAGGCATGTCCATGGCACAGGTCAGCGGCCATGTTCACGACAATGACACCACACAAACAGCCCCGTGGGCAGGGACCCCGTAGGAGTGTGTCAGAGTCTTACACATGGGCTCCAGCAGGAATCCAACACCCCCTGCCCCCAGCCACCGTGCCCCCATGTCCACCACCACTGCCAATTCTTCTGTCTCCCCAGCATGGACGCTTATGTCGTGCCGTCCCTCTAGGCCATCTCCCTGCCATAGGCTGTCCCCTGTCGCTGTGTCTCCCCCAACTTCAACCCTGCTAATCCAGCCCCCACTCCATTGCCCGTGACCTGGCTGCCCTGGACATGGCCGCCCGCATGCTTGTCCTGCCTGCCCGCTCTGCCCCGAGAAGTGGGGGTTGGGGGGAGTTTAATTCTTACTACTCTCGCTGGTCCTCCTCTCCCCCAACCTCCCGACCCCCCCGGGTCCCTTTCTCCTTCTCTCTCTCGTTTCAGAAAAGAGGCCAGCTCTGCAGGCCCCCCGGGGACGCCCCCACCAGCTCAAATTCCGAGTGCAGAAAAGAAACCGGACCCCCCAGTGAGGCGGGCCAGGCCTCTGCTCCCCCCCAACCCTTCATTACTCAGGAACCTCATTCAACCTTGGACGGAACGGGCTGGCGGGGGGCTGGCTCCAGTGCCCGCCGGGCCCCCACCGCCTCCGTGCTGGCCGTCCCTCTGGCCACACAGAACTGGTGCTTTCCTGCTCTTCCTCTTTGTCCTCCTCCTCCTCCTCCTCTGCATCCCAGTCACAGGGAGACTTCCTCCGTGCTGCCCTCCCCCCGCCCCCCGGCCCCCAACACCGCCGCTCCCGACCCCTCCCGTTTCAGTGGTGTCTGTGACATTGCCCCGTTGTGAAGTAAAAGAAGGACCTCGTGTCCTGGTCCTTTCTCTTGCAGTCTGCTTGTCCGTGTGTCTGTTTTACCACTTGTCCGTCTGTCCAGTAAGCAGGTAATGGTAGAGGGTGCCCCCCCCGCTGGTCAGCACCAACCCCGGCCCCACATCTATTCGCCAACATTTCTTTTCCCCAGCAGCCAGGCCGTGCCCCGCAACCCTAAAGCTGGCTCCGCTTGACTCAGCGCCTGGGGCCACCAGTGTCTCCCCTAAAGCCCTGTTGCCTCCTTGCTCCCCTTCTGCCCTGGCTGCAGCCGGGGTTCCCATGTGCTCAGGGTGGGGGTGGGCGGACAGGCAGGCAGGCAGGAGACTTCTCCTCCCGGACCCCCGTACACAGAGCCGGCCGCTGGCCCTTTGCTCCTCTGTAGACAAGGACGAATGCTCCAAGGACAACGGCGGCTGCCAGCAAGACTGTGTCAACACGTTCGGCAGCTACGAGTGCCAGTGCCGCAGCGGCTTTGTCCTGCATGACAACAGACATGACTGCAAGGAAGGTAAGGCTGGCCTGGCCCCGCGGCTCAGGCCCCAGACCCCGGGAGACGGGCCTGGGTGGGCCTGGCACTGGGCACCCATCTCCATCACCTCCTCTGGACTCCCACCTGGTACACAAGGCACTCCGGCCCCCTGCCTGGAACATCCAAGCTCTGCAATGGTCTGTTTCATTGATTTCTTTCATTCCTTTATGTGAAAGAGTTATAGAAAGAGAGGGAGAGATCTTACATCCACTGGTTCACTCCCCACATGGGCTACACTGGCCAGAACTGGGCCTGTTTGGGTCTCCCATATGCCTCGTAGGGACCCAAGTAATGGGGTGATCCGTTGCCTTTCCAGCCCCGTGGTGGTGTGCCTGGGAAAACAGTACAGAGTTGCCTCAAGCAGCCAGGCTTGACACCCACCTGGGAGATGTGTAAAAGGCTCCTTTCTTCACTGTGGCCGTTGGGGAGTGAACCTGGGGATGGAAGATCTTTATCTGTCTGTCTCTCTGTAACTTTGCCTTTGAAATGCATAAATAAATTTTTAAGAATCACATTTTCCCTTTTTTTTTTAAAGATTTATTTACTTTTATTGAAATTCAAGGCAGATTTATAGAGAGAAGGAGAGACAGGGAGGAAGGTCTTCCACCCACTGGTTCACTCGCCAAGTAGCCACAATGGCCAGAGTTGAGCCAATTCAAAGCCAGGAGCCAGGAGCTTCTTCTGGGTCTCCCACACGGGTGCAGGGTCCCAAAGCTTTGGGCCGTCCTCGACTGCTTTCTCAGGCCACAGGCAGGGAGCTAGATGGGAAATGGGGCCGCTGGGATTAGAGCCAGTGTCCATATGGGATCCTGGCACATGCAAGGTGAGGACTTTAGCCACTAGGCTACCGCGCCAGGCCAAGATTTTTTTTTTTTAAAAGGAAAATAATATCAAGGGAGTAGGGGGTCTTCTGACACTGAGTGAGTTTCAGGAAAGATAAGGTCTCAGTGCCCTAGGGGAACTGGAAGTGACCCCGGAGCCCAGGGTGGGGACGGCCCTCTGCTGTGGCTGACCTCACTAGGGCGTGGGGAAGACTGAGTCAGGTAGCAAAGTCCTCGTGCTGTCGCGACCAGTGGGTGACAGAGGTGGTGTGCCTAGCTGGTGCAGACCGGAGATGCAGGGTGCATGACCCTGGGGGAGCCTATCCAGACTGCTTCCCTGGTCTGGCTCGCCACCAGGCGGGCCTCACCAGCTAGCCTTTTCCAGGCACAGGCAGCTGAGGGCAGAGTCAGCACCGTGTGCCTGCGCTGCGGGGCTAGGGGGTATGGGGGCAGGAAGGGCCTACACCACGGGAGCTCTCCCCTGCGGAACCACAGACCTCCCACTGCCCTCACTCACTCCCCTACAGCCGGTTGTGACCACAAGGTGACGTCTACCAGCGGGACCCTCACCAGCCCCAACTGGCCAGACAGATACCCCAGCAAGAAGGAGTGTACCTGGGCCATCTCCAGTACCCCCGGTCATCGGGTCAAGCTGGTAAGGTGCCCAAGCCCCCGCTTCACTCACCACCAAAGGCACCTGCTTGGGCACTGTCTGTATCTGCCACCTCCAGAGGTCCCAACAAGTCAAGGGAGCCTGGCTGAGGCCCTGCGCACACACAGGCCTCCTGGCCCCAGCCCGTGCTTCCTATCCCTCACACTGCACCTGCTCCCAGCCTGAGCAGTCACTGAACTTTCTCCTCCTCCTCTCCCCTCCCTGGTGTCCCCCAGACCTTTGTGGAGATGGACATTGAGTCCCAGCCCGAATGCGCCTATGACCACTTGGAGGTGTTTGATGGGCGTGATGCCAAGGCCCCCGTCCTTGGCCGCTTCTGCGGCACCAAGAAGCCTGAGCCGGTGCTGGCCACAGGCAGCCGCATGTTCCTACGTTTCTACTCCGACAACTCGGTGCAGCGGAAGGGCTTCCAAGCATCCCACTCCACAGGTGAGGCGCCATGGCAGGTGGGGAGGTCCCATGCCCTGCGATGGGAAGCATAGTGAGCGACCTGCTGGCCTGAGTCTCCAAAGCAGAGACCCTCTATAACCTCTATGACCCCCCTGGGGCTGGGGGCTGTGGGAGGGAGGCTGACAAGACAGGATGTACTGGAGGACCGGGCCGGTGGCGCTCAGTGTGGGAGCTTGGGGGAAGGGAAGGAGGGGAGGAAGGGTCGTTGTAAGAGATTTGGAAGGTCAGAAAACAGGGCAGTGATGACGACTTATGGAGAGGGGAAGCAGGAGTTAGGTGCAGTGGGGATAGGGAGGGAAGAGCACGGGGTTCCCATTGGCTGCATCTCTGAAGTCAGACTCTGGTGAACCAAGGATGCTATTGGCTGCATATTTGAAAGTGCAGTTTGCCCCACCCCCACGTGTCCAATACCCCCCAACCCCGGAGTACAGTCAGTCACTCATTCCTTCATTCACTCAGGCATGGCGCGTGTAACCTCAGTACAGGTCACAAAAGCAAACCATCACACTGGAGTCCCCAGCCCTCCAGGGGGCTTGCCCTGCAGGTGGCTCGCTCCCTTGGCTTCCAGGGGACTGAGTCTGTGGCTGTGACTCAGGCCCAAGCCTCACCCTGCCTGGATGTGTGGGACACGGCCGGAGTGTGGGCAGCTGTAGCCGGAGAACACATCTGATCCGAGCAAGAAGAAAGAAAGTGCAGGAGTGGAGGCTCTCTGGGCAGGGAAGGGACCCCACAGAGTTCAGGGTGGGCCCAGCTGACTGCCCCGATGGTGAATGAGTGTATATGTGTAGGTGGCTGCAAAGGCTGGAGCCAGAGGTCTTGCATGCCAGATGCAGGGCACCTGCCAGGCATCCCCACGATGGATAATGGGGTCCAGGGCCTCCCTGAGTCCTCCCCCTTTCCCTGATACAGGCCCCTCAGGGGTACTCAGAAGGAGTTGTTGGGGCAGCCACCTTGCCTGGCAGCTCCCCTCCTCTGCCCCTCCCAGCACAGAGGCCCGAGGCGCAGGACGCCCAGAACTCCCATCTGGCTCTCCGAGCCGCCGATTCTGGCTCCCGCCACGCTTTTCCAAAACCTGAGCCGCTATTTTAAAATCCAACATCTTGGTCTAAAACACACAGCTGCTCTCTTGGAAATGGAAGTCCTGGCAAGGCCACACCCCTGCAGTCATGTGCTGTGCGCAGAACCCCCTTTCAAAGGTCCCCTTTAGATCAAGCCTCATCCTACAATCCCCTCCCCACTACCCAGAGACGAGCAACAGGGCACCTGCTCCTGGGCCCGTGGCAGGAGCGGTGTGGCCTCCAGGACCCTGCAGTGCAGCCCCAGGGTACTGGCATGTGGCGTGGCGGTACTCAAGGGGTGCTGGCCCCACGTCTTGTCATTCCCTACCCCCTCCCACCCTTGCACCCCTTTGCAGAGTGCGGGGGCCAGGTACGGGCTGACTTGAAGACCAAGGACCTGTACTCCCACGCCCAGTTCGGCGACAACAACTACCCCGGCGGTGTAGACTGTGAGTGGGTCATCGTGGCCGAGGAGGGCTACGGTGTGGAGCTGGCCTTCCAGACCTTCGAGGTGGAAGAGGAGACCGACTGTGGCTACGACTACATGGAGCTCTTCGACGGCTATGACAGCACCGCCCCCAGGCTGGGGCGCTACTGCGGCTCCGGGGTGAGGACCCTTCTCCCCACCCTGGCACCCCTCCGCCAGGCTTGCCTGGACAGCAGCGGCAGCCATACACCTGGCCCTTCCCAGAGGGCTGCTGCCTGTGGCCCTGCCACAGCTGGGAGAGGAGAGCATTCTACAGAGACTGTTAGAGTGGAGAGCCAGGGATGGGGTGGCATCCGAGCTGAGTTGCTTTCTCCAGTCTTGGTATGTGTGTGGGGAGAGGCACTCCCAAACCTCTGGCCGCCTCCTCTGTCCGTTTCTTCCCCAACAAGAGGGCAGCTCACCCCCAGAGCTGTGCTCCTGCAGTTTCAGCAGCCCCGAGCCTCGCTTGCCGTTCTGTAAGCAGGCTGTGGTTGACTCCACACGGGGTCTGTTTGTTTCTCAGCTGCCCTGTGCTCCCCTCATCGGTTTCTGCTGTCATCTGGAATCCTATCCAGCTTTCCCATCACACCCACCCCCTACACACAGGCACATGCTTTCCCATACATGCAAAACGTGTTCCCCTGCACACTCATATATGCGTGTACATGTGATTCCACATGCATGTGTGCTCACATGCTTTCTTGTGCATGCTCACACCAGCACACATATATGCACACATGTTCTCTGGCACAGCTCACACGTACCACTGAATCTTACCTTCCTGCCCTGTGCCTCTCCTGGCTTTACTCCAGGGCAGCCTGGCGCACCAAGGGGGAAGAGTAGGGTTCCCAGGAGCTGTGGCAGCTGCCGAGCCTGGCATTGGCTGAACCCATCCCCTTAGGAGCAGAGCTCAGGCCTCTGTGTGTGACTGGCAGGGCTGGCAGAAAGGGAGAGTAGGAGGCGGGGGAGCAGGCCCCTGTGCCTGCTGGTTCAGCAGCTCCAGCAGCCCTCCCCCACGCTGCCTTCCCATCTGAGTCACGTATCAAAAGCCAGATGTCCCCAGAGTCTTCTTCCAGAGACACCCACAGCATGCCACCCTCACCCCTCCAGGTTCTCAGTTTCCGCCTGTGCTTGAGGCCAGGGCCAAGGCAGTGACCTGCATGCAGGCTGCTATACTGTGAGTGGACTGTAGGGGGCGCTGCCTGGAGCAGACCATGGTCCACATACCAGGGAGCGGTATGGCTGAGTCGGACAGGAGGTCACTTGCAACCAGAGTTGGCTTCGCCTGCAGGAAGACAGCCCTCTCTGGTCTGCCCTGATCCCCTGTAGGCTTGGAGAGCAGCGAGTTTTTGCTCCCTTTTGCAGTGGAGGGAAGGGAGGCAGACCACACAGTTTAACCAGCCAACGTGGCAGTGGCCAGTATGCAAGGGAAGACGACCATGAACTGGAGATAGACTCCCGCCCCTCCCTGTACCCATGTCGTTCAACTCCAGGCATGCCTGGGCTGGGGCCGCAGTGAGGAGACTTAAGGAGCCCCTGCTGCCCACCCACCCACCCAGCTGTGTCTCCTTCTGTCCGGCAGCCCCCTGAGGAGGTATACTCGGCTGGAGACTCAGTCCTGGTGAAATTCCACTCGGACGACACCATCACCAAAAAAGGCTTCCACCTGCGGTACACCAGCACCAAGTTCCAGGACACACTCCACAGCCGGAAGTGACCGCCGCTGCCCTTGGCCACCAGGGGGCCAGCAGACCAGGCGCCAGGACCTGCAGGTGCCGCTGTCCACCTCCTCCTCCTCCTCCTCGGAGGTGGGGGCCTGGGGAGACTGCACTCCTGCATCAGCACTTCTCTGTGATGCCGGTGGTGGCGGCAGCAACGGTGGCAGCAGTGGGCAGAGCGAGAGGGCAAGGGCCAGGAGGCCAAAGCTCTCCCTGAGACACTTGAAGGGACCATTGCCCCTCTCTCCCCACCAGGGGGAGGGGCCCGTCAACAGTGCTGCCCCCCAGCCTGTCCAGCTCTATGCTACCATGACGGCGGAATCTGCCTTGGAACGTGTGCTTCTCCCACCCTCTTCCTGGGCTTTGGGTCCTGACTCCCCACTCCCCACCCCCCTGTTTCCTGGGGGACCACAGGAGGGGAGGGAAGAGGAAGGCGAGGAGAAACCAGACGGAGGGTGTCTTTTGGGGTCCAGTGGCTAGCCAGTCATACCCAGGGCACCCCAGCCAATAAACAGAAAGTGTTACAGCCGATATACAACTGCCGACCCTGACCCTCTGGCCCCGTGGGGGCGGGGCTGTCTGCGGCCAGATGTGCAGGCTGGCTGCATCCCAGACTGGGCCTGCGGCCCATGCACCTGTGGCCTTGCTGGCTGCCCTTTCCTCCCACCTTTCCAGGCCTCCGGAGGGTGTGATCTCACACTTGGGTGTGCACATGTGTACGCACGCACACACATAGCGTCTTGCACTGGCCCCCGGCACTCTGCAGGCTCATGGCTGCCCACATCCCTCCCACACATCGGGAGGGCTAGAACATTCTATAAAGAGGCAGTTTTGGTAGGGAGGGAGTAAGAGTTCGCCTTGTGTGTGTCCATCTGGGATTGCTTTCTTACTGAGCTGGGGAAGGAGTCAGTGGTAGGAGGGGAGTTGGGGGCAGGGTGTGTTGGGGAAGCCAGGAAACTCCCAGTAGCTAGGCCTGGTGGGTCTGTTTGTTGTCGGCCTCCCCTGCAGTACCACCCAGGGTCTGCCTTTCCCATGGCCACATGCTAAGCGCCAGCCCCTGTGGGTCCTCTCCTCTCCGACCTCTACCCCCACCCCTGCAGACAAGAGCCAGACACTTGCCAGGCAGCCACTGAGCAAACATTCCAGCCCAGGCCCCTCTCCCCAGGCGACCCCAGACTGTCTGGTCCAGCCGCCGCCGCCTTCCTCCCCTGCCAACAGGAAGGCCACCTCCTCCCAGCTCACTGCCTGGGTCTCCCTGGTGAGGGAAGCTTCCCTAGAGAGGACACTGCTCTCCTGTCTGGGCCCCCAGACTTCTGAGAGCCTCCAGGGACCTGTGAGTCTCCCTCTGGGCCAAGGCTACTCCTTCCTGTCCCGGAGGGGCAGGCCCTGTTGCAGTTGCTCTCCAGCTGGGCCCATCCCCCGGGGGACCCTGGAAGCAGAAAGCAGTAGTTCAGCTGGGTACACAGCTCACCCTCTCTCACTTGCTTGCTCACTCGCAAGTACAGAGGGGCCCTCTTCCGGTCAGGGGGCAGCTCTGTCCTCCAGTGGGGGTCCGAGGCTAGGTGGTCATGGCCACCCGTTTTGGCTTCCTCCTCCCTCTGGTGTGTATGTTCAGGACAGTATGGTGGAGCCAGCAGTGGGATGGAAAGAAAACCCTGCCCTTCCCCCACCTCTGCAGTGGCTGGGGCCTCCTGGACATCTCACAGCCGGACTCTGAGCATGCCCGTTCACTTGGGCATGGCTGTGTAGCACAATTTCTCTTAATGGCTGCATTTTCATCTGGAGCTTCAGGAACCCCAGGCCGGAGGGAGCCGACTTCACCATGTGGAGCCCCAGCACATGAACCCCCGGGGAGCATATCCCAGGAGCATTCCCCACCGCACTGGGGAGAGGAAGGTGGGTAGCAGAGTGCCCCCTTGGGGTGAGTTAGGCTACAGGCTGTGGGCCCTGGATTGTGTAGTCAGTTAATACCCAGGGCAGGTATTTGTCTGATGGTCAGAGTTATCTGGGTGCTTTTCCTGGGAGGAGCTCTGGGGACACCCAGATTGGGTTCCTGGCTCCCGGCTTGGGGGCAGCCTTGCCCTGGCTCCTGCCTACAGGCACTAGGAGAGTGGACTGGCAGAGGGGGAGATCTCTGTCCTCTGGGCCCAGGTCACCCTCACCTTCCGATTGCTCCTGGAGTCTGCGTGATGGCGGGGTGGGTAGGGGAAGCATCCGGGATCTACTGCTTAGCCCTGCCTGGCACTGGGTGAGAAGAGATAGGGGTAGAGCTGGCGTTGAGGTGCCCCAGCCCTGCTGCAGGAGACAAGTGTGGCCCCCAAAGTTGGAGGGGAAGGGGTTGAACTTTTCTCTGGGAGCAGCCCAAGCCTGGCAGTCACAAGCTTTGGCTGGGGTCCTGCCCGTGATAGTGGCCTGGTCCCAGCACAGCTGCCTGCCAAAGCCAGAAGAGACATCCAGTACAGTGGGCGAGGCAGCCAGAGCACGGAAGTCACTGTGTCCCTCGGCGGGGGTGGGGGAGGAACTCCCCCTGTGCAGTAAGGAAGGTTGGGGCCCTGCTCTGCCTGTCCTGCCAGCCTCACATGCTCCCCAGTGGTGCGGGGGTCTGTAGCTCCACCACCTGCTGGCTGTATGACCAAGAAGGAGACAGCCTTTGCAGCGAGCTGTCGTTGGGCCTGGCCGGGAGCAGACCTGCATGCCAGGCTGCTCTGTTCCTGTGCTACAAGGCAATCTCTGGGTGCCCTGGTATCCGGTGGCACTAGGAGCTCACTCCTGCAGGGGGTGGAGTGGTGCTGGATCCCCAGCCAGGGGGGCTCGTAGGGGGTGCACGGGACGTCCTTCTGGGTGTCTCAGTCGATACACCTTGGGCTCTGACTGTCCCCACACAGAAGATGAATTCTAGAACCTATGAGATTTGCAACCAGCTGTTTCTCCCCCAGAGCCTTGAGGTGCCCTGAACTTACCTCCTGCTAGCCAGACCTGTCCCCACCCCTGCCCATCTGGTCCCAATCTCCTCCAGATGCTGTAGCCACGCCCCTTCCCCTCACCCCTTCCTCCCTGCCAATCACCTCAGCTCTGCTTCCCGCGGGGGGAAGGAGCCCTCTTGGTCCCTTTCTGCAGGACCCCAGCTTCCCCCTCCACCCACCGTGGGTCAGAGGCACATTCAGAAGCCAGACAGAAGGTAGACAAAGAGGTAAAGCTGTGACTGTGTGCAGGAGGGCATTGGCACCTGCCCCCAGGGGATCCTCTGGGGTGCCGCTCCCCAGGACAGAGCTCACCCAGGAGACCTCTGCAGTCCACACATGGCCTACTGCCCATCTCAGGGAGGGCACATGTGTGCTGGTGCGCATGCGTGTGTGCACAGGCATGCTCACACATGTTCCCTTATCCATCAGGTCAGATTAGACCTAGGGCCAAGAAGAGCTCCAGGGCAAACTCAGCAGTGGTGGAGGCCACATGGCCCCCGTTCCCCACGACGGGTGCCCCCAGCAGCCCAGTGCTGGCCATGTGCCAGGGGTGGCCATCTGGACAGAGCAAGGGGAAGCGGGCTGTGTGGAATGGGGCCTTTCTACCTCCCCCTGTTTGCATCCCACGCCTGTGTCACCCACCCGAAGGACTCTGAGCAAGGTTCTCTGCCCAAGAAGCCCTAAAAGGTGCACCAAGCAAGACTGAAATACGCACCCCCCCCCCAGGAGGGGGCATCCTGGGCAGGTCAGGAGCGGGGAGCCTGCAGTCGCCCTGACCTTGAGCTTCTGGACAGCAGGTGCTCTAGCACTTTCACAATCAGCCTCCCCAGCACCCCCTGGCATTATCCTGGACTAGGCAGCACGGGGGTGGAGGCCCCTGGGAGGCACCATTGGTCCCAGGTGGCCCCTGGCTTGCACACAGGTGAAAGGGACGTGGGGATAGAACAGTCCCATAGGAAGATTCATGTTTCCTGATCCAGCCCTCCGGCACTGCCTGCCACCTGCAAATTCCTGCCACCCCGATCACTTCTTCATCTGAGAAGTGGAGACAGTGCTGCTCAGGGCCAGTGTATGCACCAGGGGGGTAAAAGCCCCTCACAGTAGGCTTGCAAGCCAGAGCTTCCTTCCTGTCTTAGGGAGGCGGTGCCCAGCATGCAGGGTGACACAGGCATCTGGCCCTGAGTCAGACTGACTGTTCTGGAACTGCTCCCTGCTGCAGAGGCCATACATTTGAATAGAAGGACAGGCACAGACGCAGAGGTGACTCAGAGCTGCGGGAGGGGGCAGGGGCACCTGCGGCTCCGGGGTGGTGGGGGCGGGGTGGGGAGGGAATTCCAGCCATCGGGCTGAATGGTGCAGTGTGCAGGCCACAGCAGTGACAAGGGCAGTACATTAGGACCGACAGGGATGGAGGGGTGGCCTCCAGGCTCCAGGAGGCTTCAGTTTTCCCCTGTGGAAACTTTGATGACCTTCAGAATCCCCTTCGAAGCTGAAGGTGTGAGTGCATTTGTAGCAGGGTCTGGGTACATCATTGGAGATGATTTCTGATCTAGGGGCCATCCCCACGCCAAGGGGGAGGCACAGCTGCCCTGTGCCCCTGCCCCAGCTTCCTGGAGCCCACGCAAGCTCGTGCTGTATTTTCAGCTTTTTTTGATCCTTGTGTTGCGAGTCCTGTTAATGAATGGGAGGAGGGTATTAGGGAGTGTGTGTGTGGGAGGGGGGGGTCTTTGGGAGTGATGAGGTCACCCTGGTAGTGCCCCCCAGGACTGGAGTGCTTGCCTCTGACCCAAGACCCAGGGCTGTGTGTGTTCCCCAACACCTCCGCCTCACCAGACGCTGACCTGGGGACGTCAGCCGGCTTAGTGCCTGGAGTGCCAATCAAGAACTGGCGAGAGCCAGCAGCTGCCGCCCAGCCTTTGCAGCCCAGGTAGACAGAGACAGCCAGGTCCCTCGGCCAAGGTGGTTTTATTGGTGCACATGGCAAGCACAGCAGAGGCGGGTGGGCCCCCCGGGGCCACAGCAGGGGAGGGGCGGGGAGAGGGCCTCAGGGGGCCATGTTCTCTCCTTCTCCACCCAGACCTCCCATGGAGACAGCTGACCACACCACTCCCTGGCCAGAGGGAAGGTGGGTCGTGTCGCCCTGCCCTCTGAGAGCACAGCCTTGCTGGCCCCTTCCGCCAGCTCACCCCCAGAAAGCCAGTTTCCGACAGGTCCACTGTCATGGTGACTTGCACCACAGTAGGCAGCAGGTGGAAACGCAGGCAGGAACTTCACAAGGATTCTCCCAGGCAGCAGGGTGGCGGGGCAAGTGATGGTGGGGGGGGAGGGAGGGTGGCAGAGCAGCATCCACAGCCCAGGACTCACACCCTCACACACGCGCGCGCACACACACACACACACAGGAACACGGGGTGCTGTGGCAGAGTGAGCGAGCAGAGTGCATGGCTGACTGAGGTGACCGCCCTCCCCACAAGTCCTCCCTGTCCACGGTGGGGCCCCCATCAGGGTATGAGGTGGCCCCTTCCTAGCTGAGGAAGAGGGAGGGTTC